GAGCAATTGTATGATTATGTTTCATGGCTTGTGCAGCTATAATGAAGCTAAGTGTGAAGTGATTTTGAACCCCACTCCACTCTGTGTGGGTGTTTATAAATACAATACAGATAACCGCTTATCACTTCTTAGCATGGGATTTGAGATCTTTAGATCTCTTGCATAGGCTTAAAGGTTAGAAAAGACACAATAATTTACACTCAATATGTAACACTTCTTTTTTTCAATATAGACCAAAGCTACTTTTGCGTCATCGAAGGGTAATGCCCCATTTTGGGGGAAAACAAACAGATTCCCCTGAGTACAGAACTTGGTCTAGGTCTGTCATAGTTTCTTGATAGCAAAATGGCACAAACTTAAAGAAGCTACTGGATACGAGGTTACAGAGATGTCCCTTTAAAATGGTCAAAAACTGGATTAATGGTCCAAATCCACTTTAAAGGGATACTCCACTTTTTTCATCCGGCATTGAACTCGTGGAGATTCTGGAAGCTGTTTTCCGTAAAATGCGCAGCACAGAGAGCTAGATTACGATCGTCATTTTCAGGAACATAATCAAACATAAATTGTATCCATAGTTGACGAAGTACAGCGTCCGTGGGAAGCTCGAACACAGAAGACCTGACAGCTGGGTGAACATAACACACATTTGACGTGCCGCAGAAATTAAATTGTGCATGCCCTTTTTTGCATATTCCGGAGGGAGGGGTTGATGCAAATCTATGGGTTGGTGACGTCTAAAACCCAGCTGTAGTAGTCCCAATCGAGTCGTTTTTGTAAGCAATATACTGTAATTCCTGATTTTTTAAAAGACGATGTCTCTGCTCACATTAAACTTTCAGCGCTGCAACTTTGCAGATACTGTTCATGCACCAACAGCAATTACAACACACTAACACCAACAACAACACACTATTTAAAATGAAAAAAGTGAAATCGCAGTCAATCCCCCCTTTAATTCTTTCTGACTTGCTGGGGTGCAGAGCTGTGAAATACTGGATTCTGAGAGGGTTTGAGAGTGTTGTTTACAAGGATCCAATATGTGGAGATTAAGAACAACACTCTGCTCAGTTCTGACTCAACCTCTGAGGATCAGTCCGTTTTGTGGATCAATAGCACTCGATTGAAGCTGCTTATCATGTGTGCTTGTATTTATGTATGAGTTACTGCAATATACCTGGTAGAATTAGTGTCTAGAGTGATATGAAATAATAAAAGCTTTATCTTTCATTTTTTTTTAATTTTTTCTATTAAAAAAACTCACTTTCATCTTCTTCCAAACCAATATGAATGTCTCTCTTCTGTTGAAAACATGAGAGTGAGTTAATGATGTTAGAATATTGAAAAACTCTTTTAATTGTTACATTTTTTGGGTGTAGTAGTGCAAATGAAAAAAATAGTTAAACAAATCTATATACCGTAACTCAACGAAAAAAACTGATAAAACCATGCACAACAGTTTACAATCAAACCCAAAAACCAAAACCATGAATCATCACTCAAATCAGATTTACCAAATTTAAGAAAATGCTCAAATGCTTACTGAAAAAAACCTGGCGTTTTGAAGCAAACTGTTACTTTAGTTATTGAAACATCACAGGCAAGTGTTTACAGCCAAGATATGATAAGAACTTTATTTAAATAGTATTATTGTGCCAGAGGCTTTCTGGGGACTAAACTGGCCCACAAAAAGGATATCACCAAATTCCAGAAGCCCTTCTCTCCTGTCACAAACAATCACGGCACAACGTGTTGTGTAGCTCGCCCAAGGCGGCTGTCATGTGTTAAAACAGCTGACTATATATTTTTATAAGCTGCAAAAGGCTTTTCATCGGCAGATAAATATTGTAAGGTTACATAAGAAGAAAATCATATGCTATCTGTACAGATTTGTGTTTTTGTAGTTGTGTTTGTGGTCATTGTAGGCATGAGCATTCTGGTCCTTAACGATTCTATTTATGACTATTCTGAGGACATGACAAACATAATGACTTGCATTTAATTCACTAAAACAGTTCAGTGGATCAAGAACCACTCTGTAAGATTCAGTGAGTTAATGGTTAGAATTATTCAGACTGATATCTAATGAGCAGACTGATTTATGAGTCTATTTCACCCATTCATTTGAACAGAACTGGTTTAGTAGCCTCATGAAGATAATTGGTTTTGGTATACTTTTGTTTAAATGGAACTAGCAGATTTATAACCAGTTTTTGATCTCCAGCCCTAGTCGGATGTGCACTACAAATGCCTTAAAAAAAACTAATATGAGAGTCTTGCACTCTTGTTTCAAACTCTTTGAAATTAGATTAGGAGTTCTATGTGATCTTTGGCCCTTTGTATGGATTATAGACCACGAACATTGAAAATGTTCTCGACATTGGAGAAATGTGATTATGAATCATATGATCCTTTTTTCAGGCCTTGATTGTAGAGTCGGAGCTGTGCTTTTGATCTATTTTCTGAAAATTGGGGGGAAAAAAGTATAAATGCAGGCCAGAGAATGTCTTTTCGGCATTTTTGGATGAAATAAGGTGATTTCTAATCTTCAGATCCACCCTATGGCCTTGTGCTACAATTGCCAGTTTCAAAAGCAGGGAGAAAAAATATCTTTGGAATAATTTTGCACAGTTTAAATTTTTTTTCACCTCAATCTGAAAGCACATTCTTATTTCCTTGCCGCAGCCATGGTCTGTCACATTGCATTAAACTCCTTCCTCTTCCTCTTCCTCATTCTTTTAAATGCAGTGCAAATTTTCTGCATATAAAGCTATGAACAGATACTGTAGCACTGCTTATTGCGTGTGTCTGACAGGGAACTGGAATGCATTTGTGTTTTGCAAGTGACACATTCTCTCTCTCTCTTTTTTAATAGTGGTGGGGCACAGTTATCTCCAAAGCAGCAAACTTTAGTAGTGCATTGGTAATACCTGTGCCTTAAACAAACCACGTTTACGTTGCATTGGCAAACTCATTATAATTACTCCTCGTTAGTATTTCTTTCTATATGGTGAATTACTGTATGATACCAGGATGTTCAATCAGGCGAAACATAGGATGGGTTACATCACAACACAAACGTTCATGTGCTCGTCTGATTCAGAGATTTTGTCCAGGAGAAATTGTTATTGTTGAAATTTTCTGCATCTCTAGCGTAGATGCATGACCGTAGCGCACAGCGAGAGCATAGGCACCAGCAGTCCGCCCAGCTCGAGCCAGTCCGGGCTCCTCGACCGTAACAGGCAGCCGCCTCCTGTTCCTCCATCAGCCTCAGCTGCTCTTTACTATATTGCGACTCGTAATGATAGCAACGAACATCGGATTCGAGCAGCAGAATTTCATAATCCTCTTCTTCCATATAATGTTAAGTTTCTTCCATCATTGTCGTAACTTCCTATCTCCACAGCGCTTGTTAGCTTAGCTTCCAAACAAGATGGCTGATATTGATTCAGTATCTGCAAGTGAAGTCCCACCCACTGATCTGTATTTTGGCCTGTAGGGTGAGTGGGTCCCACACCCTGGAATAATGAGGAGCTAATGTTTGTAGTCTCTACACTTTTCAATGAAATGTGATTTCCTGCTTATTATGACGCAAAATGACGATTTTTACGTCACAATAAGCTGGAAGTAAAACACTTAAATCGATACAGATACAAAGTTTAATGCAAATGGGTGAAGTGTCCCTTTAACAATAAACAACATCAATGAAGTCATTTTAAAAATCAGATTCGGTACAAATATCGCCTTAAAAATAATGTCCGCTTTCAAACATGTTGTCCAAACAGCTGTTTCCTCTTTTGGGAGGGACTTTAACTTTAAAGTAAAAAATATATAGGCTTATGCTAGTGGTTTTTTTGGTAAGCTTGTCATTACTCCAAAGATCGACATTAATAAGGTGCTGGTTGGCACGTGCTTCTTTTTTTACTGTCTATCCTTATTTCCGGGCAGATTACAGGGCTAATAACGTTCACCACATGCAGCAGGGAGATATACGTTCCTCATTAGCAGCGATTAGCATTTCACTAACTCTTGCAAGAGGCCACACTTTGATGTTCTCCCCCTAGCCCAAATACTCTCTCAAATAATTGACTTTGCTCCTTGTGTCGTTTATCCAAATCCTCATCCTGCTATCTCTCAGCTTTTCAATACTCTCCAACTCAGTTATTTATTTTTTGCACTCTTGTTCTTGAGCTTGTTGACTGGTTAAGGAGATAGGACTAAGGAAAGAAGTGAAGGGTTAGAACAGAACATAGGCTTATGGTCACCAAAGCTGATTAATTTCAAGCTAGGACGATTTCTGTCGCAGTGTTAAGGTATTAAGTGATCAGTTTGCTGTCAAGTGTGTGTGGTGTGAAGGACTGAATGGACATTAATGAAAGAGTATGTTTATAATGTAAGAGTGTACTGTTCATATTTGTGATCAGGCTTACTCTAAATCAGAGTTTCAACTGGTGGACAATAAAACCCATATATTAGGACCGAAATATCATTGGGTGTGGGCTCCTATAGTAAGAACACCCTAGCAACAACCCAGAACACCCTAACAACTGCATAGAAACGTGCTGACAAAGACTAGCAACCACCCACTAAATCCTAGCATAACGGTGATGAGTTTTCTATGTTTATGTTAATGTGAAAATCAAGAGAATTGCATCATTTGAAATATGTGTCTCCAACAGTGGACGATAGCAGTGAGGTTGACTGGCTGCCAAAAACACAATTTTTGCTGACAAAGTCACTAATAGTCATTTATTATGACTGCATTTTTTCGTTTTTTTCAGAAAATGATGTCTTTAAACCGAATTTATGTGTTCAGCATAGAATATTTTACAGGCATTGTGGATTTTCTCTGACAATTATGAGCAAACGAGACGTTAAATGGAGATGGAGAACGAGTCAAACATTTTAGCTGGATGAATGCAAATGCAAAAAAGCACGTAAACCAACCAACCAACCAACCACATTATTTAACATTATTATCCCTTTCTCTGCTCTTCTAGGAAAGAACAACACCTTCTCTCTTCTGTAAACTGCTGGTATCTGGTTTTAAACCAGACTCGAAGAGAAAGTAGAGATCACGCCACTCTTAACGACATTTACATCAACAATGTCATCGTTCGCCTGGCTCAGATCAGCGAGGACGTCATCCGGCTCTTCAAAAAGGTCTGCATCTTTGACACCTTTCTTCTTTTCTCACATCTTTTTAAATTCTATCACAATCTGATGTGAACTCTCTGCTAATAGAAGTGGAAAAAAATTTGACTGTCCGCTAACACTTTATTTTGATGCTTCCCCAACAGACATTCTACTAACTTTGCAAGTATATCAATTTATTCTACTAACCCTAACCTAACAGTTTACTGAGAGTTTACTAAGTTGCAAAGCTAAGTATAATTAATAGAATGTCGCAAGAGACTATCGAAATAAAGTGTGACCACACATGGGTAATTGACTCATGCAAACAAGAAGAGTCATCTAAATTGTCGGTTCTGTTCATTGTCGCTGAAAGTTTAGTAGTGAAGTTTTTCTAGCAGAAGGTCTACTGGTAACTGGCAACTTTTCCAAATCGTAACACCCTCCGCTGCACCAAAATCATTATGTATTCTTTCACACACACACACACACACACACAGGTGACTTCATACATTTGCATGCATTTTCTTGGCAGGCATTCTTCTAAGCACAGCGACGTCTACCTCCTACCTACTTGCTTAACTGTTGTAAATTTTAGGTTGTGGATTTTAAATGCCTGCGTCTGGTGTATACGGATGGTATGCGACAAAATGAATGGGCATGTCTAAATGCATGCTGTCTCACAGTGTGACTACTGCCTATTTATGCACATCCTCTCAGAGTAAAAGTCATACTGTTGTGAGGAGTGCTGCCACTGGCTGTATTCTCCGTGGTGTGACTTCTGGGCTATATGAGTTGGAACGATGTCAACACATAGCCTGGATTCCTGTGGTGAAATCCAAACACTACTAGCGTGTTTACACCTGGCTGCTTTTCCTGTAGGTGAGGCCCTGTGCTTCCAGCCACCATTCATAGGAGAGTCGGTTCAGTGAGGTGACTGTGAACCAATAAAACACACCGAGAGCACATTGGGAAAGTGTTAATTGGCTGGAGTGAGTGTACTCAAGGTCACCTAAGATACCCTTCTCTGTTTGAATCTATGTTTGACTGATGTTGTGATGTGACAGGCTCAGTTCAGTTGTATTTATAATGACTGAGAGCTGAGAATACATCCTATTTTGTGTCCAATTTGATTCTGAATCACAAGCTTTCATTTCGATTCAGATTATAATTCAGTTTGATTTAGTTTTGATTTATTTGATTTATTTCACTGATAATGCCAATTTTGCTCATTAAAAAAATTATCTCACAACTAATACTGTTAACAAAAGGGAACCTATGGAAGCTTGTTTCCGCCATAGAATGAAAAATATAAAAGGTAATTGCTTTGACTTTTTATCTCAAAATTCTGACTTTTTTTCTCACAATTGCAAGTTTACTTCTCGCAATTCTGACTTTATTTCTCAGATTTGCGAGATGGAAAGTCAGAATTGTGAGATATAAAGTCAGAATTGCCTGATATAAAGTCGCAATTGCGAGATATAAAGTCAGAATTGCGAGATGTAAAGTCAGAATTGCGAGATGTAAAGTCAGAATTGCGTGATATAAAGTCGCAATTGCGAGATATAAAGTCAGAATTGCGAGATGTAAAGTCAGAATTGCGTGATATAAAGTCGCAATTGCGAGATATTAAGTCAAAATTGCGAGTTATAAAGTTTGAATTGCGAGATATAAAGTAAGAATTGCTAGATATAAAGTTGCAATTGCATGTTATAAAGTCAGAAATGCATGATATAAAATAAATAAAAATTTATTTTATAAAAAAGGGATAAAAAGTCGCACTTCTGTCTTTTTTTCTCAGAATTGCGACTTTATATCACCCAAATCTGACTTAATATCTCGCAATTCTGACCTTATATCACGCATTTCTGACTTTAAATCTCACAATTCTGTCTTTATAACATGCAATTGTGACTTTATATCTCGCAATTCTGACTTAATAGCTCGCAATTGCGACTTTATATCATGCAAGATAAAAAGTAAGAATTGCGAGATAAAAAGTCACAATTATTTCTTTTATTTTTTTATTCAGTGGCTGAAAACAAGCTTATAAACCTTATAAATGAGCATGGTAATAAAAGAAAAAGATCACCATTAATTAATTTGTAAACAACATAAAATTAATGTCGATTTAGTAAACTGAAGAAATCTTTAAATTGCATTTCTAGTGAAAAAGTATTATACACATATGATTTATAAACTCAAATTTCACTTTAATTTTGAGTTTTTTTTAAATGATTCATTATAAGGACTGGCTCAATGGAGTAATTTGTTTATGAATGGGACATTTACAGTATGTTTTTGATTTCACCGAAATGAATAGATTTGAAAGAGATAATCAGAAATTAGATTCTTTTTTTCTTTTTTTTTTTTTTTTTTTACAAAGTCACATTTATAACACTGTGCCAATAAATATTCTGTGGAATTTCTGCTGTTCAAATTCATCAATCACTTAGCAGAAGCTGATGAAACTATTTCGAAACCAGAACGACATTTTTCCTATTAACATTTTTACATGTTGAGGCTGTGTAGTTCATGGTAATATTATAAAATGTAATTCTGCGATTAAGGACGTTTTTCCTTACTTTTGGTACAGTTGTACAGTTGAATCACTCCTTGATGTCCAATGTAAAATATCAGTCTGGACTCCTGAGGTCTAGCAACATGAGTCTGCCATCTGGAATGATAATGAATAGCCTTCCTTACATCCTTAAGCTCTTATTTGAACCTTTTCTTTATGTGTTTGGGACATTCAATGGCAGTTAGTAGACCCTAACAGCAGTTTTGTCCATGCTAAAGGTTCCCAGCACACATTAAGAAACCTAGTCCTGAGGTCAGTGAAACCTTTCACTGGTGAGGATGTACGAGCAGCAGAGACAGCTGGGAAACATGTAATGTATAGCTTAACAGCAGTTTTACGGTCTTACGCTAACGTTACCAGTGGCAAGATACTGCAGTGTGTCAGTGGCTTTGTCTCTTTCATAATGTTGCATCAGAGAATTTCACTGAGAGCTCTTCCTATATATTCTATGCTCTTAATTTGATGTATGCAATAATACTGTTTCTCAGTCACCATGGAAATCAAGAGCAGCACAAATTAGCGTCTGGTATGACATTACTTATTTTAAGTGTTTAATTTTAATATTGTACATCCCTCAATTTGTACATTTCTCATCAAATTCTTTAAAAATACTCTAAGCTGTTCTATCCATATACATTGTTTTTCTTTACTATACAATACAGTATATCGACAATTGTATAATAAAAAAAAATGTTAAGTTGATAATTTCATAAAACATAACTGAGAGCTCAAATAAGTTTCCTGTGCAGTGAAAGACATTATTTTAGCAGTTTCACATGTTGTTGTTGCTTGTGTGTTTATGATTTGCTTGACGACTTTATTTGAATTTATTCAGTCATTTTATCTGTTTCATTGGATGCTGTGCAATGTTGAGTCTACATGTCACCTAAAGACAAAATCAATGCATTCGCATGCTTATCCCATTAGAGTGGATGACTAGACTTGTAAATTGGTTGCAGGGATTGTGTGTATGTACACATTCATGTGTAGAGAGAGATTATTTTTGATCCCTAAGCACAGGCCTGACTATACTGACTATACTTATGCTGAAGCTTTTATTGATCACTGAGACTTACGGTCCATTATGTTTTACGAACATAAAAGGGTTTCAGAGGGCTACTGGCGTAATTCATTTAAGTAGACTGGGATCATGCTCACTCGCTATGTGCATTTTCAAATATGACAGCAGCATCAAAATGTTACAAAATGTCATTTGTGAAGGACTTAGCTTTTATTTGTATGTTTTTTTTTTTTAGTTATAGAAATTTCTTTATGTGCTTTTGTTTTTGTATTTGCTGTATATTTTTATTGAGCTTTGGTTTGTTTTTATTTCAGTTTTAGGCCCCGTTTACACGAGAACGATTCCGGGTGAAAACGTAAAAATATTTTACCGGATGTGCCTTTCGTTTACACGGCGACGGCGTTTTTGAGGCTTAAAAACGCAAAAAAGTGAAACCACCCTCCAGAGTGGAAATCTTAAAAACGCTCCACCGCCGGGTTCCCGTGTAAACGGTAAAAACGCAAAAGTCTGCTTGATGGTGAAAGTTGTACGCAGGCGCCTGGACTTGGACTTGTTGTTGTAGTATGCACGCCTAGCCGCCTGAAGTGCATACTTCATTGAATTTCACACACTTTTGCGTCATCATTTGCACACAGATTTCCCACACAAAACGCTCGTCTAAACGCAGAATAAAAAGTGATGACGCAACGCCACTTTTGCGTTTTCTCTTCAGAATCGTTTCTGTGTAAACATAGCCTTAGTAACTTTAAAACTTCAGGTAGTTGCCAAGGTACCATTTCTAAACATTTTTTTAAGTTTAAGGTTTTCCATCTAATATATATATATATATATATATATATATATATTGTATTCAAGCTTTATTTCAATTGCTGGAAATTTGTTTTATTCAACAGTAACAACACTGCTCTTGGACAGTTGATCTTGAACGGATGTTTTACACACTATTTGATAACCTCTTTATGTTTTTTTACGCTTTATGTAGCTTGTATTTTGTCATCTGATTTTTTTAATGAAAAAAATGTGTGCTTGCAGTGAACAATTTCCAGCTTCCCTGGAGTTCTTGCCCTCTTGTTTCTGCCAGATTGTCTCACTTACTTTAGAGTAAATGCAGTATATTCTCTCTATTTCGGCTACAGGTGTGTGTGTGTGTGCATGTAAGCAGGAGTAGCTTAGCTGTGTGGGAGGAGGTACAAAATTATTTCTTACCCACCTAGGGTTGTCTTCTTTCCCGTTAACTAGTTTATAACATTATTAAATTATTATTTTACCACAGGAATGCATAAGCAATTTTCAGTGTCACAGTCTTATTGTGTCTGAATCAGCCTGGTCCCTGTTTGAAACCACTGTTTGCAAAAACGCAGGAAACAATGCTGCAAAGCATTGAATCAAATGAGCGATCAATTGAAAACATGAGCCTTTTTGCGTCAATATAATGCGGTCACCATATAGTGAGAAACATGAAGCCACCAGCCTGATGCTGTTAATAGCTTACTGCACACTACGCAGTAAATATAGTATGCAGTATGATTTATTTACTAAGTTAGAAGTAGGTATTTCATCAAAATTTCCCATGCATAAATTCTTACAGCTGGCAGTGTACTGTATAGCAGAAATAATAGAGTAGTATAAAAAGTATGCTATTCTGCACACATTCAAGCAAAGCCATAGAAAGAATGTGAAATAATAAAATACTCTTTCATTAAGACTTTTTATGTTTTTTTTTTTGTTTTTTTTACTTGCATTTTGGATGTTAGTCGTGACTCTTGGCAGGTTACAAAATAAAAAAAAGCAGGTATTTGTGCCGCATAAACCAGTCTATAAAAACGGGGAAAACATCTTTAATATGACACCATCATAAAACTTGCAAGTTTTTAATGGAACTGAGCGAGCTGAATGAGTAACTTTTTGCTGTTGTTTTAAAATCAGTTATTGAGTTTGACTAATTTGTGACCCATTTTGTATTTGCAGAGTAAAGATATTGGCATTCAGATGCACGAGGAGCTGGTGAAAGTGACGAACGAGCTGTACACTGTGAGTATAATGTCTCTCAATCTCTCTCCCTTTATTTTTCCTTCTCGCTCTCCCTCTGAATGGAGCTCTCACCCGCTGTGTCCTGCCATGCTCCATGGAAACGCTGACTCTCCGGCCAAGAACAAAAACAGTTTGGCAGTGCGACAGTTTGAAGAAGAAAGAAACTGTTGCTTCACATACTTTTCTATTAAAGGATGGGAAACTGAATCAAGGGATGTTTTGGTGAATAATGAAAGTGGTACTATTTGTGATTGTGGTAGTCATGGGAAAATAGTTGATTGGTAGCACGCCTTTTTAAGCTTCATAGTAGTCACTTCTTCAAACGCTTCCACATTGCATTTTAATTTGCTTCAGAATCTGGGTCATTAGGAGCTGAAATCCTTCTTTGATTCCATCGCTTTAGTTTCTTTTACATCAACAGTTTCACATCAACCAAAATGCATGCTCTTTCTTTTTTTCATTCTGGATGAAACCCAAGTAACCTCTGCAGAGAAGCAGGTTGAGATTAATGTTGTCACCCATGACAAGACATCAGAGAAGATTCTTCTCCATCGCTTGACCTGTTCCAGATGTCCCTTTTGCATCTTTATGCAGGTGGCATAGTAATATGTCTCCCCTGGATCCCTGAATGGAACTAGCTACAGTATAGCTCATATGGTCACTCTCCCGTTGTCTCATCTCTTGACTGCGGCTGTTCGTCAGAGTCAAACAAGCCTAAAATATGAATGTACTCCACCTACCATAAAATATATAAAATTATAAATAACCATTCTTAAGAGCACAAACATAATACTTATGAATCAGAGAGACACAGTTTCTTCCTTTAAAATGTTGAAACGTACTAATATGCGGTTTGGGATCTGCTGCTCTGACGCTGATGTGTTTCAAGGTCACTGACAGGAGTGTAATGTATCGCTGGAGAAGACATGGGAGAGGATCATTATCCTTTCCCTGCCACTCTTCTCTTTGCTCACTTTTCCTCAAATAAAGCCTACCGAATCCCCGCAGAAAGATGCAATTTATTATGTTCTGCATCATTTTGGTCACAAAATATTTAGGATGTACTTTTTCTCCTAAGTAGTTACAGAAATGTGGGCTTTTAAATGTATTATTAGATTATAGCCTGTGTGCAATATATATATATATATATATATATATATATATATATATATATACAGTATATATTCATACATATACTGTACATACATACACAAAGTTATATATTAGGGCACAGCTGATTGGTTCCTGCTGTTTCAGTAGCCAATGAGCTCGCTGCTCAACCTTCAAACACTGGTCAGCATTTTCTGTAGCGGTGCTAGTTTGTACAGCAGCAGTAGCAGCATGTGTTTCTTGTTCTCATCTGAGTGTCGTGTGTGTATTGGCAGTTGCAAGTTCAATACTTGCTCTGAAGAAGTAGCAACATAACAGATTTATTCCACCTAGACCAAACATATCAACATTGACTATGTTTTTGACTATATCCATTACCAAACCATTATCCATAGCCAAACACTCTGAGAGTTGTTATGACAGAAATATATATTTATACTACACGGTGGTTGAATTTTGGTTTCTAATTGGTTGATGCACATTCTTAGGTGTGCAATTATTTTTTAGGAAATGCACAGCAAAAGTAGTTCCAGTCACTTCTTGACCGCATTACAGTTTCATATCCCTTCGCAAAATTATTTCAGCTATTTCAAAGGGCCTTGTAAGACATTGACAAAATAAATAAAAATAACAAACAATAGACTTTTTTTAAAATACAATTTGACCATATATAATTTCATATTTGGGCACTTTGAGATTATTGACATACAATAACTGCACTCTATTGCCAATGTCAATAGAGACACATTTTCTGTTATAAATTTTCAGGGAATAATGTATAAAATAAATGTTCAATTCCAAAATTTAGCTTTTTTATTTTAAAAATATTATCTACACTTTAAATTTCAGTGTCCATGGGATTTAAATTCCCTTAGGTTGACAACTAACTTCAGTAGACTGAGTTATACTAAACAGTGTTATGAATATAAAACAAATCGAGAGACTTTGCAAACCTCTACTTTAAACATGGCTTGCTTATGATCAACTGTTCTTGATATACACTTTGACCATAACAATAAAAGCGAGTCTGCACTAGACGCTTTAAGTATTGATCCTTATGCCTCTCTTCTGCGGTTTGAGTTATGTGTTCTGCATGTAGAATAATAACAGTCCCAATGTGAAATTTCTGCATTAGTTTTGTGTTTTTGTGTATTAGAGTGATCAATGCTTCTTCATTTTCTTTCTCAGTCATTAAATACGCAATTTCTACAGTATGTATTCTGCCAATCAGACTGGATACCAGAATTGCATTTATTTATTTCTACTTCCATCTCAGAAGTTTAAAGTTAAGGTATTGTTTGCTGTTTTTGTAATTCAAAGTACTGTGAGTTTTTCACATTTGTGAAACGCATGTATTTTCAGCAGCTTTGCCAGGGAACAGGCCTGTAATAGAGCTGACGTACATTGAATGATGGCATAACAGCTCGTTATAAATTCTGTAGCTTTAAGGAAATTAGTCCATAGCGCAGTGCCCTTGCACAACTGCACTTAAAGCCCTATTAAACATGCATCTATGCATAAGAATTTAACTTTTGACTTTGGGTGCCAAAGACATAGACATGTGACAAGTTGGAATTGCAGGCCTTTGATGTAATAGGACATTGTTTCTCTTACATTTTCAGCAAGGTTGCAGCTCTTTCCTCTGTTATGGTGTGGTACAAGGAGAAATCACAATATATTGATTGCAGAAACTAAAGTCCTGCCTTTCCTTCCTGTTCTGTTACATTTTAAACACGATTGTCATTCATTCGCATGCATCATGGCCTTAAAGGCATCAGCCGGCACACAGTGAAGACCATCGATCTGAAATGATGAACGAGTCAGCGCTGCCCACTTAGCCAGTTGAACCTCATTCTTCTTGTCGATCACAAGGTCTTACAAAAGACAGTCTGTCTTTAACCAGTTGACATGGAAATACTAGTTTACTTGGAATTTCTTGAAATGGTAGCAGTTAGGGTGTGCACCGCGGTACAAAAGCATGCAGACGTGCTCCAGGCAGTTTGTGTGAAAATGGAAGTTACAGATAAATCATTGCATGTTACTGTAGTTTAAGGTCTCTGGCTAATGCTCAAATGCTGAGCTAATGCGGCTTAGCAAAGGATGACACTCCTTGCACAGCTCTTGGACAAACCTAAGTGGCCACAAAACCTCAAGGCAGTGGCGCTATAAATATTTGTTCTGTTTTTCAACCTAATGGTGAGAATTCACTTCATGTGGTAACAGCTAAAATATATGACTTTTTAGAGGCCAGTTTCATTGGTGCTAAAATTATTTTATTTCATTTCATTAAAAATGTAGGCCTATATATATACAGCAACCATATTTAGTTTGATGTAACCATGAGGAGGAGTTATGAGATTACATGTGGTTACTACTGTATGATCTTATTACAAAATACCTCGGTTATTTTGCAAGAACTGCAACAAATTTTCATCAGGGCTCTACCAGAACAGAGTCATTTGAATGAGACTGTTTAGATTGTGTTTAAAAATTTTCCCTCATCATAATAACAGGGTTGTGTACAGAATTGCACGTTTTAATATATCCCAGAGCTGTATCCAATGTCAGCTTTGCCCTAGCATTGCTCTTTACAGCTTAGGTCATCTCATCTCACCTCAACATGCCTGTAAATACAATTTTGATGCTGGAAGATTGCCAGTCATGTCCATCAAACCTGCTTGTAAACATGTTGCTTTGCTGTGTTTTCTTTGAGGGGAATGGGCTGATGGGTGACAGCTTAGGAGCGGAGTGCTAACCTAGATTTTTTGCACTGGAGTACATTGATCTTGTCAAAATTACTCACTAGCATAGTATTTTTATTCACGATTTGCAGTTTCAAGAATGTCACTGTGAGTGTTGTGGTCTTACTGAGTTTGTAAAAGGGGTTTTAGCCTTTTGTGTTATTATTATTATTATAATTTTTTAATTCTGATGGATCTGTTCTAAGCTATATTATTTGGACGTCATGTAATGGTGATGTCGGCAAGGTTTCTCATATTTTAGACTAGTGCATTCATTGTAACATTCAAACATGCATGCTACAGCTTCTATCACCAGATCTTGCAATGGCCGACTCATTTGCACAACCACATGTGAAACGTGAAAAAAAAAAAAAATCGGTTAGCTTGAAGACATTTCACACATCTGTGCATGTTTACTAGACCTTGTTTAAGGGGCTGGTGATCTGCCCTGGGGCCAGACACAGCTAGCACTACTCTGAGAAACATCCTTTGCATCCTCTTCCTAATGAGATTGAGGAAACAGCTTTTTACATCAGGGAATACTAGGGACATTGGGCCTGGATACTGTGTAACAGTTAATGACTGGAACATGTTATATTAGTTCGAAGAACAAGGCTAATTGTGTAGGTGCATTGAATTTAGAACATTTAACATGTCTTCGACATGGTCTGCATGTGTATGTCTACCTTTTGAATAATCTGTGAAATAGTCTACATTTTGTGGTTGATTATAATTCATAAAAAAAAAAAAAAATGTTTTGACCGTAAAGACATTCCAATTTTTTTTTACAGTAAAGACATTTACTAAAAGAAAAGTATCACGGTTTCGACAAAAACATTTTTCAGTGCAAAATTTAAATATTAATAATATTAAAATCAGCTTATAAAATTATTTTTGAAGGATTATGTGACATTGAAGACATGTCACATTGCCATCACAGCAACACGTTACATTTTTAAAATGTATAAAAATAGAAAACATTTATTTTAAATTGTAATAAATTAAAAAATAATTTTTACTGTATTTTGGTTCAAATAAATGCAGCCTTTGATGACCAAAAGAGATCTTAATCATAAAACAAAATCATAAAAAACAACAACTTACAGAGTCCAAGCACCAGAGAATAGTGTGTCATATTATTGAAAGATAATGTTAATTTGCAATTATATGTAATTTTAATGTTATAATGTTAACATATAATTTTTTCATGTTTTCATGTCAATGTTCAGAGTTAAGTAATAGGAGTGTAAATATTTACGCTGATGATGTTTGATTATTTATTTATTTTTATTTTTTTTGCCAAACCGTTCACATTTTTGTTAATCATTGATTATATTACACCATAAATCGTATGTTTTGGTGATAAATGTATATGGTTGGGCATCATTATAGTAATTGTAATCTGTTATTGAAAAAATATTATAAAAATATGTAGATAGCTTGCTACCCTCCTGATAAGCAAGTAATTCGCAGGTTGACATACCTACACGGAAAAAAGTAAGTAAAATTGAATTTATATAGCACTTAAACGCAACAATGCACAAAGTGCTTTACATAATCATTAAAATACATTAATGAAGAGCTATACACAGTACATAATGAAACAAAAAAAAAAATCAATACCCAAAATACACAGAAAACTTCACAACATATTAAAAGCATGTCTATACAAATACGTTTCGTTTTCAGACAATCTGACAATACTATGGTTTCATATCCTACCACTAGTAGCACTGACACATTTAATCTTTAAATCAGAAGAAACAGCACTAAAAGCATGCATAGTGCCATCGTGCGGACGTACTTGATGACCTCCACTGAAGAGAGCTGATGATCTGTGCGTGTAAAGTTAGAGTGAGATAGCTGAGTGCATGTACATCAATGTCAGGGAGGGTCGCTGCAGATGAGCAGTGTGCAGACGCCTGCAGGCTGGCTGATTTAATAAGCATTTTATTGAAAACATCGTCTGACATGCATCTGCCGGCTATAAGGCGAGGAGTAAAGCAGGGCAATGGTGCAGAGAACCCCCTCTGCTCTGTTCTATTGTTTAAGCAGAGAGGATAATGGGGTTGAATTGCAGAATGGGTCACACCAATCAGACATGAGGTTAAATATTTTGTATTGTTGTGAACACCTATGTTATACACAGGGTCGGTGTAATGACGAAACAATCAGATTGTGCTACCAAAAATATATTTGCATTCTTTTAAGGGTAGGTTTTGTTTAGGGGTAGGTATGGACGTTAACAATATGATGCTGGTAGCACAATCTGACAGCATTTTTCTATCCATTTGTGCTACCTATCCATTTTAATGGGATCCATTTCACACACACAATTAAAAACGATCTTCGACATGCATGTGAAAGACTGAAGATTTCGTTTAGTAAAATTGAACTAAAATAAAGGCATACACAAGCATGTTTTCTGATGCTACAATTTGAAAAAAAAAAAAATCCACGTGCGACATACAGTTGCAAATGCAAATTTTGTATTATATTTTATAATACAGTAAGTATTTGCAGGCCTGGAGTTGATATCGGAAGATTCGGGAGAATTCCTGTTGGACCGCTGATAAATAGGGCCGACAGTAGTAACACTTCGACATAAACACAGTTTCACACAGGACCCTAAACTGCCCGAGACTTGGAAACCGCGCCTCTTCATTTTCAAGTGACCCTTCGCTAAGCCCCGCCCTCCCTAGTTACGGTTGCTACGCCTGTCAAGCTTTCGCGGTGTATCGGTGTCAGACATTCCCAATCAGATAATTAGTCATTTTTGGCGAATATGTGAAATATCCGAGAGAGCAAGACAAAAGGGGATTCGATTCATTCGAGGAATATATTCACAATATAATATGCAACTGATTAGAGAATAATTTCTTAAAAATTGAAGCTAAAGCCTATAGTCCCTGCGTAAGCAGCAGCGTCTCAAGCTGACCATTCAAATGGGAAACACAAATTGAGGAACAGCTGTGTTTGTGCACAGCAGGGTAAGTGAAATGTGAAAATAATCCTAATAATTATAAATCAAACACCTTATCCATAAATCTTGTGGAATAACACTAACACCGGGAGAGCTACGATCGGATTGGGTTAAAGTTGCTTAGGGGTCGATTAATAAAATACTGGAATATATTTTTAAAGTATGTCAGTGAGCCTCCGTCTTGTCTTTAATCGTCTTATTTTACGTTAAAATATACGCATTATGAACAAAGAGCCGTCAAAATTTCCAAGCTATTTCCTGTCGACATTTAGTTCTGAAGGGGGTCTCCCACACTCCTTAGTCACGCCCATCCTTTCTCCCCTCGGCTTTTAGATTTTCGGGAAGAAAAAAAATCCACTTCCCCGTCCAAACTTTTAGGATACTGGGTATCAGATTTGCACAATCCAGACGCACAATGCTATGGCATGTTTCCCTCACTCGAAAGCTTGCCAGACCTCCCGCGCCTAGTAACGGTTGCTAAGTCACGATTGGCCAGGAGCGGTTTTCGGACACATTAAGATGAGCTATGATTTCTCCCCCACTTTCTGTCACACACACACACACACATAGGCACTACTAGGTAGAATGAAGGAAAGTTAAGGACATTTAGATTCAGAATAACTAAGGAGGTGATAACTTGTTGATTTAAGTTAAGTAATTCCAAATGAATGCCCTAAAAATGAAGGATACTGTAAGAGCTCAGAGCTCCAAAAATAAGCTCATACAGGGAGCTCTGTAGTCGAAGTTAGCAAAACGTGCAGTTTTCTTTGAATCAGCTTTGTGTTTCACACATTTCCTTCAGAATTTCATTGTCTTTAGATCGCCCCCTCCTTCAGCCCTGTCATCCCGGGCTTGAGTGGAAGGTCTTGGACTCGTGGTGGAAAGAGGCAGGATTATGGCTGGTATTTCTGCCAAGTTCATATACTCGTGCATATTCATGAGCTGGCCTGTTCTGTAGAGCTGACGGGAATACATCTGATCCTCCTCCCTGGAATGAAACTAGTCTAGAAACCATTTCAATGCAGTCTTGGGATTGAGTTGTTTTGTATCACCATAAAGAAGTATAACTTTTTTTTTTCGATGTTATACTTTCTTCTATCTCAGTTTAATGTGCAGAGATGATATTAAAGGATTAGTTCACCCCAGAATGAGAATTATGTCATTTACTCACCTTCATGTTATTCAACATATTATTATTGCAGTCTGTTCACACTGCACTTTTCTATATAATCACTAAGTAAACGCAAACGGTAAAGTAAAAAAAGGACTATACATGTTTCTTATGCTCACCAAAGCCGTATTCATCTGAAAAATACACTAAAACAGTAATATTGTGAAATTTTTCTATATTGTAAAATTGTATTTTATTCCTTTGATAGCAACGCTGAATTTTCAGCATCATTGCTTTTTTTTTTGTCACATGATCCTTGAGAAATTATTCTAATATGCTGATATGGTGCTCAAGAAACAATTATTTTTTATGTAGAAAACAGTTTTGCTGCTTAATATTTTTCTAGAAACCGTTTTTCAGGATAATTTGACGAATTGAATGAAAATAAAATCAGTATTTGTTTAAAAAGGAAATATTTTTTAGCATTATAAATGTCTCTACTGTCACTTTTGAACAATTGAACGCATCCTTCTGAATGAATAGTATCAATTTCTTTAAAAAAAAAATATTTTTTAAATATATATTTTTTTCCTGAAAATATTCCCTTGTTCCATTGGTCTCAAATCCAATTTGTGCTTCCAGTGTTCCAACAGATTTGATGCAACACCCATTATTGTAATTATTTAGAAAATGTGAAAGAAATTGGGCAGTACAATGGAAGATTCAGTGAATAATGTCAATTTTCTGCTTTTTTATATATAAAAAAACAAAACATTTTTTAAATCGCATTTATTTGGAGCAGAATTTTGGACCAATGAGATTTCAGAGTGGGCGGGGCTACCAAATGGAACACAGCACAAATGAAAAATAGCCGCAAAATATCACTTGCCTTTTTTCACAGCAAGATTTTATCACTAGTATGTGTGTACACTATGTGTGATGCTGTTAGACTAGTCTTTATAGTATTTTTTTATATTATCTTACAGGTGATGAAGACTTATCACATGTATCACACGGAGAGCATCAGCGCGGAGAGCAAGCTTAAGGAGGCTGAGAAACAAGAGGAGAAGCAATTTAGCAAATCTGGAGACCTTAACGTCAACCTCCTGCGCCACGAGGACCGACCCCAGCGGCGCAGCTCGGTCAGGAAGATTGAGAAGATGAAGGAGAAGGTGAGATTACTCTTGTGAGCCAACGGCCAAGCTCATAATGCTTGGCAGAGTGACTCATAATGCAAGCCTGTTTTTATAAAACCACAGGGCCGTTGCAACCTAGAATCACATTCATTTCATCTTCTGACACTCTCAAGCAGAATTGCGACCCTTTAAGAGAAATGTTTATCTTATTTCAAGTGGTGTATATATTCTGTGCACAATGGAGGATAGTTAGCTATTTGTCATTACTTGACCCACTGTGATAGGAAGTAAAAGCCTAAATATTCTTTTCTTTTTTTTTAATGCAAAGTGACTTTCAGTACACTTAATAGATAGATAGTCCCCCTGGAAGAACCTTAGGTGAGGTGCCCTTTTTCTTGGTTAAGAGTTCAAGTGCACAACGGGGTTTCCTCTTTGCAAGAATCAAACCAGAAACCTTGCGACAGTAAACCTTAAACTTCGATTCGAAGTGCTAGTGCTTTGCAAGTGCTTTGAATTTGAGAAGCTTATAGAGTGTATAATTTTTGTTAATATTATTATTTATAGATTTACTGTAGTTCATACAGCAGAACATGGCACTGGCAATGTCAAGGTTATGGGTTCGATTCCCATGGAAAGCAGGAACTGATAAAAATGTAAATGCCTACAAAAACGTATGCATAAATGTAAATATAATTATTATTAAACTGATACATATCAAAGTCATATTGATATATATACGCATATATATATATATATATATATATATACAATTTGAATAAATTGTAACTAGATTTGTTTCCCAAATCGTGCTGCAAAATATTGCAAAATACATTTAGATGCATTCTCACCTTCTTTTTAGTTCACCGCCTCATCAGCTCTTAAAAACAATGTAGGAACTAAGCTTTAATTGAACCTGATGGATGGGTTTATAAAATGAATGTGGGCTGAGATTTATCTAAGAATGGACAATGAGGTCAGTAAGACTGGAGACAGCCTGGAGACTGATTGGCTGACTTCTCACACAAACCAGATTCAACATTTCAGGTCAGTAACTTCAGCTGTAGATCATCTAATTCGAGCTAATTCATAGCTAGTGATACGCATTCACAGGAAGCTAAATCAAAATGAGGGTGACACTATATGAGGGTGACACTATATGTTGATTTAAATTATAAATCAACATACAGGAATATTGTGCTTTTCACATGAGGCCTTTTTCATGTGAATGAATTCTGTGCCTTCAGCTAGCCAGATAGCTCTCTCTCACTCTCACTTTTGCTCTTTGTGCCGCTTTCTTTCTCCCTCTGCTGTTCTCTCTCTCTCTCTCCCCCTCCCTTCCTCCACTTTCAGGCTGCATTGCGTAGAGATGTTGGCATGAAAGCCACTCAGCCTCACACTATTTATAACCATGGTAGCCATGGATGCTCTGTGTTTCTCTCTCTGCAGCCTGACCTGATTCTGCAGACTCGGTCATGATCTTAGCACACCTGCAAACCTATACGGCCTCGATGGACTATCAATTACTCAAGTGTAGTTTGATCATGGGGAAATACATTTTAAATTGCATTGAGAGACTGCAATTATAATGCAAAATAAACCTGAATAATTGAAATTGGAGAATGATCAGAATTGTGCAGCCATAGATTTAAGATTTAGATAGTTAAAAAAAGGTGAATATTACAAACCAAGAATGATGAAACAACATACACTGTATAATTTATTCAGTTTATATTCTGGAACCATAAACACCACCATTATTTCAGGTAGTATTTAAATTTACTCGCGATCACTATATACAAACCCAGCTAATCATTGTGGCACAATGATTAAAAGGCCTTATATCTAGTAATAGACTGTTTAAGTTTAAATAATAGTCTGCACCATATATTGCTCCTGTCATAACATATTCACACAACAGTGATTGTCAACCACAATGCATTTGATCAGTAGTTCAAGCATTCAAGCATTTGTACTTGAATGTGTGCTGGTGTTTGTTCTTCGTTTAAGGATTTTGTTTTAGTCAATACAATTATGTAGCAGTCAGCTGTCGTTAATGGTACTAGAGCAGCTGTCTGCTATGAGTACTCAAGGTTTTTGATGAAAAATTCAGCAGGACCCAGCTGGATCTCATAAGCAGATGAGACCCAGGCTGTATGTCCTGTTTCAATTCACTGCAGTGTTATTTTAGCGTCATTGATATACTATTATAGTTTTAATGTTTATTGTAGTTACTATTAATTTTTTGTTTGATTGGTAAATGTGCACTCTAAAAAAATGCTGGGTTGTTTTAACCCAATTTTGGGTAAAATATGGACAAACCCAGCCATTGGGTAAAAAATGTAATTTAAAAATGTAACCCAATGGCTGGGTTTGTCCATATTTTACCCAAAATTGGGTTAAAACAACCCAGCATTTTTTAGAGTGTGTATATATATATTTTTTTATTAAGTTTTCACTTTTAGTTTTAGTTAATGATAATAACCCCAATTCAGTGAAAACTCATGTTATACACTGCATGAGATTATTCATTCTCTCAGAATGTAGACTTTTTATATGTGTTTGTTGTTCTATGCCTTTTACGTACTGTTAAAAGTTGTTGGCTGCTCATTCACAGCTTTTAACCACACTTTCTACTTTATTTTAAAGGTTTTGTTCAAGGTTATTGTGAGTTATGATATCTGTACACTCCAAAATATATATTGTATTGTGTTTTTGAGGTATCACTTCGATGTAATCGAGACTGGAGCTAGTTTCCTCAATGGAGAGTTGTCACAAGGGCTAAAACATGGCACAAGGTCATGGGTTCGATAACCTTAAATGTGTACCTTGAATAAAACATAAGTCACTTGGGATAAAAATGTCTGCCACATAAAGTACATAAATGTGAAGGTCAATTTTGAGTCAAAGAAATCGAACATAATAATGTTTTCGCAGATTCTATCCGACAAAATAAAAAAAAATCATAATATTTTTTATAATAGCCCCTGGGTAAACAAGAAAATAAAATTAAACCACTCATTCAGGGAAGAGTCCTTGTGAAGGTAAATGTAACTCAAGAAGTGTTACATGTATTTTATATGTTTTAAATAATTTTATTGTTCATTTAATTAATTTATTCCTGTATTCATGTATAAATAATGTTTTAAATTGGTTGTATATTGATCTTTTAGCTGTTAGCTAAAATAACATTTAGAATATATTGTAGACATGTTGTTTTTTTTTACCTCATTCGAATATTTCAAGCAACGGTATTCCTCTTAAATCAGTGTCAAGTTTATATTGTGACGACGTGCCACAACAAGCCTCGATCACCACATTGCTGAAAACAACCACTGTTGGGGAAAGTTACTTTTAAAAGCAATAGTTTAGTTTTGTTTGGTAAATAAATTGGCTATCTTTTGACTAAATTCTAACATCCCATTTTTTTGTCACAACCTTGGTTATAATGTCATAGCCGGGTTATAACTTTTAAAAAAAAGGTGAGTTGGCCAAAGTGCTTTCCATTCCATTTGTAATGCGTTACAATATTGCGTTACTTCCTAAAAAAGTAAGTATTTCATGACTTTTTGATACAAAAGTTGTATTTTTGGCAAATGTAAAGGCCCTTTCACACAAAATGTGAAATGAATAAGCCTCAGGTTTACAGAAAGGCAAATTCACACCTGTACAGCGCTAAAACAGACCTTGAAGCTGTGCTGCCATTCTGAAGAATAGGACGCAGTAGTAGAGAGTTCAACACTCTAATACTTAAAATACTTTAGCAAAAAAAACTAAAAAAATAAACACAAATATTTAAATATGATGGTTAGCTAAAGTCATTTTTATCGGATCATAAAAGGTCAGCTGCAAAGACATTGGTAAATAAAGTAAGATTAAATGTATATTTGTGTTATTCAACATTTAATTATTGCATTATTCATTCATATTTTGTTATGAATTTAAAAGTAATGCTTTACTTTACTAGTTGAAAAAAGTAATCTGATTGCGTAACACTGAAAAACGATTTATTATATTAACCGATTTCTTTTTCATTTTGTTTCCTTCTTCCAGAGGCAAGCCAAGTACTCGGAGAACAAGCTGAAATGCACAAAAGCCCGCAACGACTATTTATTGAACCTGGCAGCCACCAACGCCGTCGTGGCAAAATATTACATCCATGATGTTTCGGATATGATTGATGTGAGTATGCACAATGAGGCATGGGTTTGTTTGTGTGTGTATCAGCTGGGATTGAAACAGTTTTACTGATGAGGGCTCTGCTCCATCTGTTTCTCTTTGCATTATGGGTAAAGTGTCTGCTTGTTAATATGGTTTGTCTCATTTCTTTTCTCTAAATGTTTGTTTTGCATCATTCTTATTGAATTGGATTTGTGTACTGATTTTATTCCTCACTCTCTCTGGTATTTGTGTTTTTATTGAAATATTAATCACCATTGCTGTAACCTTCTAATCTGTTTTGCAGCTTTGTTCGGCTACACAAAGGATGATTAAAACTATTATTCTGCAAAACCAGAATGATTTTTTTTTGTCAGATCTATAACAAGAAAATGGAATTACCAGCTTAATTGCACATAAACCTATGATCTGGATTTAATTCACAAAATATTGTTGCATATACAACAACAGGCTTTCTGTGGCACTGGTATCATCCTATCAAAAATATGCTGAGACTGAATTGTTGATGTGATGTATACTGAAATATTTCCCCTCCTGGCTCGTCTCTGCTGTTTCTTTCATGTTAGCATCAGTATGCATACTGTAGATAAACCAAATCTCTGTAACTTTTGCTGAGAGATGCAAAGAGTGTCACATTGTTGTCCATCAATACGCCTGAAGCAATTTCCAAAAATACAAACCCACACACACAGTTGTACATCTGATAACAGCAAAATGGGCGAAGAGGAAACCTAAGCTATTATAAATAACTTTTGAGCCAAGATATTTTCCTCTATGCAAACTAGCAGTCACATAACGTATTCATATCGTTGTATTAACTGCTTTGTTAGGGAATGTTGTATTGGACAATAAACCTGTAGGCTTTTTCTATACTTTTTGAATGAATTTGAAATAGAAACAAATGTTAATCTCTAAGACAGTTGACAGGTTGAAGTTGTAAGAGCTCTGTAAGGGCTCTCAGTTAGGTTGTTGACATAGGTTTACCTTTAAAACCACTAATTGGTAGAAACCACTGAACCAAAACTCACAAACTCTCACACCCACCACAGGGTATAGAAATTCATGTGGTACTTGTGGTGGCCTGTCGTGGTGAATCAGGATGCCATGTTACCTTGAACTTTTCCAGGTTACCTTATACCAGAAATGTAATATTTGCTAGCCGATCCGAATGACCACAACCCATAGTACTGGTGCTTCAAAGAAACCAGGAGGGCTTTACATACCCTCTGTTAAAGGGATAGTTCACACAAAAATGAGTTCTGTCATCATTTATCCTCATTTACCCTGTCGTAATTTGGTTTCTCTGTTGAACACAAAAGAATATATTTTGATAACGACATTAGACCCCACTGACCTTTATCGTATGTGGACTATACATTTTTGACCCCATTTCAAATCCAGAACCCTATACAGACAAAAATATTTCTGATAAAACAAACCTTTATTTTTAAGAGTGCATGGTCAGAAGTAGGGCAAGTCTGTCATACTTAAAGGAGTAGTTCACTTTTAAAAAAAACTTTTGCTGATAATTTACTCACCCCCATGTCATCCAAGATGTCCATGTCTTTCTTTCTTCATTCAAAAAGAAATTAAGGTTTTTGATGAAAACATTCCAGGATTTTCTCCATATAATGGACTTCAGTGGGAACCAAACGATTCAAGGTCCAAATGAAAGTTTCATTGCAGCTTCAAAGGGCTTTAAAGGGCACCAGACGATGAACAAGGGTCTTATCTAGGACCCTTCGAGTCATGACTCGAAAAAAGATTTGTTCATTTTGATGAACGAGTTTGAACAGGAGAGTCACGAACGCTGATTACAGAACAGAGCAAGGCGAGCATTTGTGTTTATAAAACTTAAATTTTTTATTTATTTTTTAAATGACCAACCTTTTCACTACATAAGACCCTTATTCATCGTCTGGTGTCATTTAAAGCCCTTTGAAGCTGCACTGAAACTCTCATTTGGACCTTGAATCGTTTGGTTCCCATTGAAGTCCATTATATGGAGAAAATCCTGGAATGTTTTCATCAAAAACCATAATTTCTTTTCGACTGAAGAAAGAAAGAAATGGGCATCTTGGATGACATAGGGGTGAGTAAATTATCAGCAAAAGTTTTTTTTAAAGTGAACTACTCCTCTAATAGTTTTCAGAGAGACTGACAGTGATCCGAAGGTAAATTCATCATGGCAAAACTGTCTAACTTCTATACACATTAGCAATGTTGTGGTTTTCTGCTTTAGACTGAAATATGTTTGCCTCAGGGACAATAGTGGTTTCAGCATTACTGATGGACACAATAAATACCTTTGAAATGTCTGGATGTACTTCTATTCATGGTTATGATCTATGGTTATTTGCAAATACTGAGAATTAGCACCATTGCTGTTATTAGACCAAGAATATGAAAGTACAGATATAAACTTTGAGCTTTTTACAAATGTACACCTACATCTCCTGCAGCTTTGTAATGCTAAATAGAGGATGCCACAGGCTATGACCGTGTTGTGTTTGCACTCAAACACTTTAGAGCATAATATATGGATTTACAGTCCAATAGAGCAGTATCTGCCTCATCGCAATGACTCACAGAGGTTTAAAGTTTCCCTCAAGCAATTTTAAACTTGCTCCACGTTGCTAAAAGAGGTTAGTTGCACATTTGTTGCACGTTTAAACTAATTAGCTAAGATATCCCACTGCGCTTGTTCTTCTAATTATAGATACTGACAATCTCGAATCTACACAGGATAAATTCACTCATTTACATCGCGCCATTGTAATGACACTTCTATCCACGGAGACACAGGAGATGCTACCTGTCTTGCAGTTTGTCTTGCCAGAGTGACATGTGAAATCTCAAGACTGCTAAAAATAGACATCACCATAGAAACATTTTGGCAAATAAAATTTCATTTACACTGTCTTCATAGGAAGAAAGATCGGATTGGTGTTCATCTAAATGTCATGCAGGCTCGCTGTGAGATATTTGATCTCTTTCTTTCATTTTTCTTCTTCTTTCCACAGTGCTGTGACCTCGGATATCATGCTAGCTTGGCGCGCACATTAAGGACGTATCTTTCTGCTGAGTATAACCTGGAGACCTCTCGCCATGAGGGTCTGGACGTCATTGAGAATGCTGTCGACAACCTGGACCCTCGCAGTGACAAGCACAAGATCATGGACATGTACAATCAGGTGTTTTGCCCACCCATGCGCTTTGAGTTTCTGCCGCACATGGGAGATGAGGTATCCATCCTTCAACTTACTCAATAGTATCTTATTAACGGAACAAGTCAACCAAAAATGAAAATCCTGTCATTATTTACTCACCCTCATGTCATTTCAAACTCAATGACTTTCTTAAAGTTGAGTTCTTTGATTATCCTGGCCACTTCTTTTCAATATAATGAAATATTTCATAAAAATACCATAAAACAATCAGTGCAAGCTGTATATTAGATTTGCATAAAAAAAATCGTCAGGTTTTTTTTTTTTTTGGGTTTAGAACCAAAGAGAGTAAGCGATGACAGAATATTTATTTTTCACTGAACTATTCCTTTAAGAATAATGAAATACTAAATGTTTAGTAAAGATCTAAGCCATGTCAAGACATTAATGTATGATGGTGATAAACTTCAGGTGTGCCAGGTGAGTGCGCAGCAGCCCGTGCAGACAGAACTTCTCATGCGTTACCACCAACTGCAGTCCCGCCTGGCCACACTCAAGATTGAAAACGAGGAGGTAAGAATAATCACAGTTACTACATTCAACATTTTATCATGGACATCATCATGCTATTCAGCCTCAGATGTTACACCCACAAGACCGTTCACTGACTGTGTGATGCATATTGCACACTAACATAACAAGGTTTTACAAAATTGCTACTGTAGCTCTAATGTGATTGACTGGTTTTATCGAATTTCCAAAAAGGCAGGGTGTGCAGGTCTTTATCAGTCTGCTGGGTAACTTTACCGAGACCGTGCCAAGCAGCGACACTGAGCTACACTGGCTACAATAGTCAATTTAATTTGTGGATTATATAGTTCAAGGTATTGAATCTTGAGAGGTATTCAGAGTTTGTTAGAGCACAACTGATATTGCACTTTGTTCTCAAAGTCATTTGAGATTTCAGATTCAAGCCCACCTCCAAACATACAGAGAAACTGATTGGTTGATTTACCTTGTCAATCAGAGATGAGCCTGTCTAAGTGGGGTTATGTTAGAACAAGCTACAAAGTAGACCCAATACATCGAACCCATAAGATGAAACATGAAGATCGTAATATACCCTATTATTTTGCTAAGATCATTAAAGGAGAACTCTGGCGCAAAATTAACTTTTGGTCTAATAAAACATTGGTACCTACTCAACCATTCTCTGAGATTTGTTTTCATGACAGTCGAATGTAAAGAGTTTTATCTCTAAAAACTGTCTAGCGTATAACACTAGTAATGGGGGCATTTACTAAGTAAAAAGAAAAAGCTAGTTTATACCACTGACAAGGCTCAAAATAGCCCCACACTAACACAGTAACATAATGAGGGTCCATACATGCAAAACGAAGCATTGAGAACTTTGTAAGTGTACAGACTGTTTAAAAAGAAGATATTTTATAAAGACAGTTCACTTCGTGTATACAGACAGGAGCCATCTTGGGGAACAGTCTCAACAAGCCGAAACACAAATGACGTGCCAAGTGAGCTGAACTGTATGAAGTTCAGCGAACTTCTAAACTGTATGAACGGCGTTCGTGGTTCGACTTATCGAGTCTGATTTCCAAAGATGGCTCCTGTCTGTATACACGAAGTGAACTGTCTTTATAACTGTATATAAAACTCTTTACATTCGATTGTCATGAAAACAAATCTCAGAGAACAGTTGACTAGGTTCCAATGTTTTAATAGACCAAAGGTTCATTTTGCGACTAAGTTCTCCTTTAAGACATTTCACGGTCAAAAAATCCAATCAATAGTGTAGAGATATATGAAGCATGGCTCACACAAGTCACTTTTAGACCAAATAGCTTTCTGTTGGTCATTGTGGCAAATCCACGAAATCTATTACCTATACTCGAAATTTCAGATCATGTGGATTCCTTTTGAAATTAATCCAATTTTCTTTGCGAAAATTGTAGGAATATGACTGCACCTTTATTACGAAGATAAAAAATGTGTCATTGTTAATCTTTGAAGGAAACAAATGTCCTTTTGGGCTGATGTCATCACGCCCTCTTATAATTTCCAATCCCTCCACTTCAAGCACTTGACGTCATATTATAGCAGTAAAATAGTTTGCGAACTTCAGTTCCTGTTGACTTTAACACCTGCTGGGGCAACCAAATGCTTTAGAAACTGTTTAGTTTTATTTACACCTGCTCACTAAGATTCATCAGCTTTTTTAGTGTGAGTCACAACTCTGCAGAAAGCCCAGCTGCCTCTCTCACACAAGTCTTTAGCACTCAAAGAGCCCTCAGCTTTACTGACATACATTTTTTTTCTGCCGTTTTTAAAGTACTCAAGAGAATACTTCAGCCTAGCAATCAAACTCATTGCAATTTAGTCCATCTTTCCTGGGAACTGTGAGTGTATTTTAGTGTACTCATCTGTTAATGGTGTTTCTTTTGGGAAGGTTCGGTTTTCTCTTTGTTTGGTCTTTAGTGAGGGTAATTCTTTGTCTTGGGAGAACGAATACAACTCAGGCGCATTACCAACCAACTACTGTAAGTGTATGCAGGTGCTAATGAACTTTATAATTGCTCCCGACTGTGTGTATTGATGACTTCATCTTGCCCTTATCACTTTGTGTCTCATAATCAGCTAGTAATGGATGATTTTGTGTCATGTAGTAAATGTGCCACATTAATCTGTGAGGGCCTGGGGCCAATTTAATTTACACACCGGTCACTATGATCTTTGGTCCTGGGAGGATCCTGAAGAAATCAATATGATCTTTTTGAGGGAATAGAGGTTTAGGAAGTTTTCAAGCTGTATACCACTGTAGATGAAAAAGATTCGTTCATTTTGATGAAAGAGTTCGAACTGGAGAGTCACAAACGCGCATCTCAGTACCGAGCAAGGCGAGCATTTGAGCTTATAAAACTTAAACTTTGTTATTTATTTATTAAATGAACGATCATTTTGCTTGATAAGACCCTTATTCATCGTCTGGAATCATTTAAAGCCCTTTGAACAGTTTGCACTGAAAGTGTCTTTTGGACCTTGAATCGTTTGGTTCCCACTGAAGTCCATTATATGGAGAAAAATCCTGGAATGTTTTCATCAAAAACATTAATTTCTTTTCGACTGAATAAAGAATGACATGAACATCTTGGATGACATGGGGGTGAGTAAATTATCAGCAAAAGGGGATCAAATTTGGTTCCGATATTTGAGCCAGCGTGTAGTCTGGGCCATTGCTCAGGTTTGAGGTTTTAAACAATTTACCTGCATAAGCATTCAAATAGGCTGCAGCATACAGTGGGATTATATTCATCAAAGTGACACATACTGTAGATGCGTTTGCAGACATAAGTTTGGAGCTTATTGCACACTTTTTTCTTTCTGTGATTTGTTTTCTCATCCAGTGTACACATATTTTGAGTCTTTCAATATTCTTAAGCTCATATTGTGGGTTTGAATATATCATAATGCCACGTACCTGTTATTGCAAACCTGTTATTGCAAAACAATAAGCATTTTTTTTTTCAACTGCAATGGGCACAGAAAATGTTATTATAGAAGTTCCCACTATACAATTTTTTTTTATTTCAAAAGAAACTTACTGTGGAAGCCTCTTTCTGCCTCATAAAAAAATTAAAAAGGAATTTACATCTCATTTACGTGTTTTCAGATTTATTTTTTATTTTAATCTTTTTATTTTTTTGCTTTGAGACTGCTTTAAATTCATGAAGAGACTTTTGCCGGCAAACCATGAAATATGGTGTAAAAAAATAACTTGGGTGTCATTCATGAAAAATGTCATTCCATTTTATTTATGTCACTGTCAGGGGTCCAGAAACATACACTACCATTCAAAAGTTTGGGGTCAGTAAGATTTTATGTTTTTGAACAAAGCTCCTTTTGAAATTACAGTAAAACAGTACTATTCTGAAATTATTACAAATTGAAAGTAATTGCTTTCTACTTGAATATTTTTTAAAGTGCAATTTATTCCTGTTACAGTTTTTAGCATCATTATTCCAGTCTTCAGTCTCACATGATCCTTCAGAAATCATTCTAATATACTGATTTGGAAACATCTTATCATTGTTGAAAACAGTTTTTCGATTTTAACGGTCACTTTTGGTCAATTTAAATGCATCCTTGCTGAATAAAATAATTGATTTAAGATTTTGAACGCTAGTGTAAATCTCTTATGTAACTTATATTCTAAAAGTTCATACTGATCTTTTCTTCACCTTACTGAGTCCCTGCTATGCTTTAATTAGGTACGCAAGACCTTGGATGCCACCATGCAGACCTTACAAGACATGCTGACAGTTGAGGACTTTGATGTGTCAGACGCCTTCCAGCACAGCCGATCCACAGAGTCCATTAAATCCGTGGCTTCCGAGAGTTACATGAGCAAGTTAAACATTGCTAAGAGACGAGCCAATCAGCAGGAGACAGAGGTCTTTTACTTCACTGTGAGTTTTCTCAGGCTCATGACATATAGTAATATATGCAATTAAATGTGATTTAAGTTATTGACGTATGTATTTTATTCGATTGTCAATCCTAAGTATTAGTTGTTTCAGACATAAGAGGGCAAAACCCGATATCTTTCATTTATAAGTTTAAGCCCTGGTCCTCAAGATCTCTGGACTATCAGTAGATCTTTTAATACATGGTTCTCATCAGAGTTGTCTCTGCCAAACACTGATATGAAAGTCTACTCGGCCTGTCCTATCTATCCAAACTTAGTCATCACACATGAATCCGCAAAACATTCGTGACAAGGCATATGCCTCACCAATGAGACGGAAATTAAATCCTCCTATCGGAACAGATTGAATTTGCAGCGTGCAAAGTTCAGCGAAATCTGTTCTTTGTTGCCCACAGCACACATCACTCCCCAGTTTTAGTCACATCCCATTAAAATCATTAGCTCACTGACGCCTTCATCTGTGTTGCAGAAATTCAAGGAGTACCTGAATGGCAGTAACCTCATCATTAAGCTGCAGGCCAAGCATGACCTTCTGAAACAGACTCTGGGGGAAGGTGAGTTGTCTGTTTATTAAATAAGTTTCTCTCGGTCTCTGGAAATGCTGGGTGTCAGCTAAGCGTCTGGCGCTTAATTGCAAATTTGGTCACTGTTGGGTGCAAAATTGAAATTTGTAGCTGCACAGCGAGTTCAAGAAGTTGATATCTAATCAATGGTTCTGAGCTAATTGGACAAGACCTACAGAAGTGATATCTAAAAGTTTAAGACCAGACCACTAGCGAAAATTCTTCTTTTCTGCATCAACTTGTCCTATTGAAAGCTGGTAGATGAAAGTTTGGGTAATTTTCAACCAAATATTTACAGTAAGTATCACACCTATATCCCAATGTGTATCGCCATAGTCAATTTAGACCTGTAGTTTGTTAATAAAAATTGGAGGGGGGCAGATAAAACTCTGTTGTAGATTTTGTTGATTTATTAGATACCAGTGCCAAAGACTTTCTTCTGATAAATAATAATGTTTCCGTCAAAGACCTTTTTGAAGCAAATGCCTCAAGAAAATCTCTGACTGATTGTTATCTAATAATCAGTGTTTTAAAAGAATCCATTTAACTGATTTAACAAAAAAGTTAGACTGCCATTGTTCGCATATTCGTGTTAACACGCTTCCTATTTGTTTTTACAAACTGAAGGTTAAATATTTTCATCTTGTAAAAATTACCTTGAATATTCCTTTAAGTCTGAGCCCTTTTGTTGTCAGATGATTATAGAGATCCTTCTTTCACGGCCACATTTCCCATAAGGCCTCTTGTCACTTCTGTTACGGGCAGTTTACGCCCAATCAATCAGCTAGTGGCACCAGGGGGGAATTTCAGCAGCTGCCTGTGCGGCAGCTCATAATCTAATGACGGCTCACTGTGGGACGCCCCAGCTGAGTCCAGCCATCTATGTATATGATAGCTGACCAGTCCTGGCCTCTTCCGCTCTCCAGACTGTGTGCTCAATTACACTTCACCTCTTCGTCTGAGTAACCAGGCTAGCCAAGGTGTGTGCGTTAGTTTGTAAGCTGCATATGTATGAGTTTATCACATATGGTTGCTGCAGGTACCGCCCATGTTTTTAAATTATTCACCTAATTGACCCTCAATCCAAATAACCCTAACCCCCTAACAATCTAATTCTCTCCGTGGGTTGCCATGGCGCCAGCCAACTGGCTTAAATGCTCACTCTGATGTAGAAAAATAAACTGTCTCTGTTTGTGACTGTCCTGTAGGTAAACCAGATCCTCCCTAATCGCTATCCAGAAACGTGTTTGGAAAGGATTGAGATCATTTTTTAACCCCTCAGCTGGCAAGACAAAAAGCCTTTCAGTTTTTGAAACGATTTTAGAGGGGCAAAGCAAAGGCACACGGGAACCACTCCATTTGATATGCAGATTTAGTGAAATGAAATGATTTGAGGGGCCACTTCAGATCACTAAAGTACCCATGTAAAAACATTAGTGGTTCCACCTCATTACATGGCGAATCAGAATTGAAAAAACTTGATCTGTGTTAAAGGCAGGTGCTCTTGAGATGTGTAATTTTTGGTCTTTTTACCTCATTTTTCCCCAAAGTGACATTTAAGATTTAACAGTTTTACATAATCTGGGATTTTTGTGGCATTCATGTGTGTTTTGGTTTGTGGGCATGTGTATTTTTCATTGTTTGTATCGTTGCGATATCAGGGAACCCTTTTGGGCGCACTGAATATTAGGACAAAGAGCTTTCGCTCAGTGTCACCAGTGTGAAATGAATCCCTTAATGCACACCCACTCTTTACATATCCTCATACACACAAATACAAACACACACACACTCATTTAGGCTCTTTTAGTTCCCTTATGTGACCGTCTGACACCCCGCAGGGCCCTTCCGAGGTTTCTACGGTGACCAGTGCTCCTCTTTGTCCCAAGCGCAACCCATTCATCTTGCCTTCAATAGTGTTGGCCAGTCTCACGATAGCCCTCAGTACACTCTGACCGCGCTTTAGAACCCTGTGCATGAGATCATACTAATAATGACATTTCTGACTCCTCCCTCTTTTATCTCTCATTTTCAGGAGAAAGAGCTGAATGTGGAACTACAAGGTAAGAGTTCTGATGATGGTGAAATTCCCACTTTTCAGAAGCAAAATAAAGGTTCTTAATTGGCATCTGTGATTGCATGAAGATCCATGGAACATTTACATTGTGTGAAACATCTTTTATAGTGGGAAAAGATTAAAATATTCTTTGCACTAAACAAATTTTAACTGAAAGTTTGTTTGGGGAACCCAAAATTGCAACGCCGCCCAAACTCCATTTTGGAACCTTTATTTCCAAGATTGTATTGCTGTGAAGATCCCATTTTGGTACCTTCGCTTTTAAGATATTCTCTAAGCTTGCTTTTGCTACAATATCTAAAGTTTGTTCAATTAAATGGTCTCTAAACTTGTCAGGCCGTGGGGTCATTATACTTTTCATCCATATTCCTTCTCAATATCCATGATTATTCTTTTAAATAAAAAAAGTTATTTTTATCACAATCACAAATCTTTTAATGGAATATTTAGACTAAAAAGAGGTAAAAAACATTATTTGTCGGTCCATTTTCTGCAGGTTCAGCTGAGAAAACAAACTCTAAATCACACAACAAGTTCTTGTGAAAGCAAAAGAGGGAACATAAAACTTTTTTTTTGATATTTCTCAGCGGTCAAAAGGGGACTTGTCCTCAAGCTGTCACTGGCAGGGGCTCAACTCTTGCTGGGTTATCCAGAATGTCCTCTGACAGTCTGAGAATGCTGAGAATAGAGCCTTCCTGGTAAACAGATGCAGACCTGTTTTGACCTCTCAGTTGGATGACATCTACCAGTGTTGCCATTGATAATCATATGCCCTTTACTTACATTTTAAACTGAAACCCACTCTATGCTATTACGCAATTATGTAGCTGCGAATGCTTGGCCGACACATATTATTGCAGCAGCATATAAAATTGTACTTGCGTAGCTAGTTGCATATGTATTCAAATACTTATATACTTGTTTCAGACCTAAACATTAAATGAAGTGGTATTTGGTCACAATGTCTATGCTTAAGAATGCATAGATTCTCTATGGACATCCAACTCGTCCATCTCTGGTAATGATTAATCACGTAAGCAAATATAAACAACAGCTTGCGCTATGCCCTCAGAATCACAGCCAAAGTGCAGAGCCATGTCATGTTTGACTTTGATTGCATATTTACTAATCTGTCACAACAGGAATTGTTTCAATAAGGGCCCGATTCAGGGGTCCTACAGGGAATAGAAAACTCCCTGCAGTTGTTATCGGTTAATTTGAGGTCAAAAGCATTAGGATGTAATTACGATCTTTTAAAAAACAACAATGAATGCCTGTTGCTTATTTAAACCCTTCATTATTGTCCGTTTCCTCCACTGAGACAAATGCAAGAGTTAATGGCACGATTGTGTAGACAAGAAAGGGTTGCGCTGTACAGATTTAAGGTCTTTGATATATACTTCAGTGATTCAGAGAGAACTTTGCTTGTGTTTTTGTTCCATCTAACCATATGCATTCCTCAGACCCCCAACCCTTCCCCCGAAACCACAGAAATTGCGGAAACCAAGGCCTCGTTCCATCTATAACCATAAGCTGTTTAATGGCAATATGGAGAGTTTCATTAAGGTACCCACTGACTTCGGTGCTAACAGTGCCCTCTGGTGGGCTGGAGGGATGGCTGAACCTCTGTCTATCTTTTCTGACTGACTCATGCTCTCACACCCTCTATTTGCTTCTGTTAATTTCCGTCTTTCGCCAGGTGGCGATGATGCAGATGATAAGGGTGGCAGCTGATGCCCTCCTGCCTTAGTAGAGATTCAGCAGGGCCCATTAGTTGTTAAGGAACTGCCTTTTTGCTTAATTTACGCAATTAAGTGGTCGATTACCCATTAAGCTTAAACTATTTTGTTTAAAAATACATTTTAAATAGCCGAGAAAATGAACTGAAGGGCATCACGTTCTCCACACGTCTCCCTTTACTGCATCTCAAGCCATTTCAGCAGCCGTCTTAATGCTATTCCACCCAATCACCACAACGACACTGTCGTCTCCATGGCAATTCTGTCGTCCCTTCCTCTCTAACTGTGATTTTTCTCACCTCTTTCACTCCTCTGCTCTGCTGTACGCTGCTTTGTGTCCTAGGGGAAGACGGAATGCTCGTACCCGCAATCAGGTACTGTAGAATAGGGCCAGCCATGGACTGTCTTTACCTTTCTGATAAGGCTGTAATAGATTTGCTTAGACAAATGGCTTGTCTTTGTTTCTTTCCACAAGAGTTCAAAGAGAAATTCTAATGAGCTTTAGGATGAGTTTATTACTTTTAATAAATTTTTTCTATTGTGTAATGCTCTCGAGGACGGACAATGCTTAATGCTTTGCTTTTTTCTCTACTAAAACAACCAAAAAAAGACCACTTTTTTGTTTTGTGGATATATTACTTGTTTTTGAAGCATTTCGAAAATTGTTACTTTCTTAGAGGTGCACCAAACAGTTTAGCCATTTAAATAATTTTCACATATTGATATGCAAATAAATATTTTTATTTTGTTACACAATTACTGCTGTCAAATCAATTAATCGTGATTAATCACAACTAACATAAAATTATTAAATATATTATGTGTATACACACACACACACACACGTGTATATATACTGTATATATAAACAGTATTTACACACAAACAAACTTTTATGTTAGATGTGATTATTCGCAATTAATCGAAATGACAGCACTATACACAATACAATCAAAATAATGTACACTCAAATGAGATAAAAAAAGCTATTTTAATTTCTCTATTCATATTCCCCAAGAAAGAATGTCCATTAACATGAATTACAGAGAAAGTAATGGCCCAATGATGCAGGGTTATCATGACTGAATGTCATATTAATCATAATTTTAGCTACTATTATTAGTACTTTTCTTTTAAATCAGGGGAAAATGTGCAGGTGCACCTTTAATAGGATAGTTCACCTAAAAATAAAAGCTCAATTTTGTCATCATTTACTCACAATGTATGACTTTCTTTCTTCTGCAGAGCACAAAAAAAAGAAAAAAAAGAAAAGAAAATTGGGCCATAAAGTGAAAGTTAATTGGGTCCATTGTTTGACTTACATTGTATGTACAAAACTGACTTTAAAATATTATATTTTGTTTTCCCTGAAAGAAAAAAAAGTTACAGGTTTGGGGATTACATGAGAGTGAGTAAATAATGTCAGAATTGTCATATTTTGGTGAACTATCCCTTTAAATCTCAGTCGCTGCTTTAAAACTGGTGCCATTTTGTAATGACTGTTTTCATTTCAGGATTCAGGTCAACCCATTCCTCTGGTGGTGGAGAGCTGTATTCGATACATTAATCTATATGGTAAGCGGTTCAAGGAAAGGTCACTAATTGATTGCAGATAAACCTGCTGACTCAGGAGCTACTGGAAACCATTAGAGAGCTCTCCAAAAACAGCACAGCCCCCTTATCATTCAGAGAGCGATCAACACTCTGAACCACAGAGACACAGATGCTAATTTGAATAAGGACTCATCTGTTGTAAGTTTTAGTGATCCCGTGATGCTTTCGAAAAAGTTCCATATAAAGTCCATCTGTCAGGGTGAAGCTGAAGTCAGAGAATTTAGAGAATGACATCGGTTTGGCTGCTAAATATGCTGTGGATAGATGATTTATTATTCTGCTAGAGACTATAAATGTTTATGGATGTCAGGGCAGAAAATAATAATGCTATAAACTCTCAATTCTCTGTGCTGCCTCGAAGATTGCTAACAGGGACGTAATCTACTCTTTCTGTGAGATTATTGCTTTAAGATGTAACAGGTTTTCCTTCAGGATCTAGTGGAATCTTAGAAAATGCCTCTTTAACAAAACTCATATGTGCCAAAATAAAGGATCCCTTAGAGGGGAATGTTGCAATTTCTTCAGTGCTCATCTTGTTTTGAACTAAGATAATGCAATATCATGTCTTCACAAGTTGTTTCTATTTATTTTCCTGTGCCAGGGCTGCAACAACAAGGCATATTCCGAGTTCCTGGATCTCAGGTGGAAGTCAATGATATTAAAAATTCATTTGAAAGAGGTTAGTCCCCCTAAACATGAACTGTAATTCATTTCCGGTTCTCTTTTTTTGTACTGTATCTGAACTGTGAATGTTGTTTTCTGAGGGTGAAAATAACATCATAAAATTAGATTTGAAAGCAGGTTTCAATTTGCAACAAATTGGTTCTACATTTAGCTCATGTTTGCAGATGCAATCATGGGATTCACATATGGTGTCCGTGTCTGTCATTTCTTGGGCTTTACCATCATCGAAATCGTTCCATTACACTCAAACATTCACTGCCTAGAATTTCCCAGAATGCACCGTTGAAAGTGTGGGTTGTTTGGTATATTCTCCCTTTTTTCTATTTAAGTAAATTGTGAGAACATGTACAAGATGAAGAACTTTTTTACAATTTTAAACATATTGGAATATTAGCATTAGCAATTTTAGACCCACATAAAGGTCTAAATCATATTGTAACATTAGAAAAAAAAAAAAAAAAAAGACTAAAGCATCGCAAGCAAATAAATATAAAAAAGGAATAATTAGTCAGATATGGAGGACGACTGTATATTTAATCTACGAGTGAGATGCAAGCTAAACAAATGGTACCAGAAGAATATCAGTCCTAAAAATTGTGCAGTGATCTTGTTGACAAATAGCTATGTTTTAATGTGCAACCTTGTCACAGGCAATTGAATCATCAGCATCCCAATATTAAGTGGATCAAGGTGTCTGCTGGTGCCCAAAGTGATTCATCATATCATAGGGAATTTAGGAGTGGAATAAGATGAATCTCTTTTTTGTAGACTCCCTTAAATGACTTGTTTAATTGAATTATAATTTTTCAGGGGAGGACCCACTGGTTGATGATCAGAGCGATCAGGACATCAACTCAGTGGCAGGTGTTCTTAAGCTGTATTTCAGAGGGCTGGAAAACCCTTTGTTCCCCAAGGAGCGTTTCCTGGATATGATCTCCACCATCAGTGAGTGTTGCATTTAGCTCAAAAGCTGCATTTACACTGCAGGTCTTGATGCCCAAATCCGATTTTCTGACTTTATCCGATTTTTTTTGACAGCCCGCTTACATCATTTTTTAAAAGTGACCTGTGTCCGATTTTTGCATTTACACTATACACTGCTGGAACTACCAAATGTAGACGTTCTGACCTGGAAAACGTAGTAAATATAATTTTTTATAGTTTTTAGTTTTATATTGTTTTTATTGATCAAAAGTGACAGTGAAGATATTTATATTGTTAGAAAATATTAATATTTCCAATAAATGCTGTCTATTCATTAAACAATCCTGAAAAAAGGTACAGAAACATGAAGCATCACAAATGTTTTCCACTTTGATAATATGAATATTGCTTCAAATCAGAATATTAGAATGATTTCTGAAAGATCGTGTGACATTGAAGACTGTAATTAATGTAATGATTAATGATGCTGCATTAATGATGATTGCATTTTACAATATATTAAAATAGATAATATTTCACAATATATCTGTTTTTACAGCCATTTTGATGTATAAAAGTCTTCTTTCAAAAACACTTTTACAAAATGCTTACAAAACACGACCCCAAAGCTTTGAGCAGTTTGTACATTTTGAATGTGGAGCTGTGGGTTGTTTTATTCGAATGTTGGTTTGTCTGTTGCTTGTTTCAGAGCTTGAGTCATCCGTTGAAAGAGCCCACCACATCCAGCAGATCATCGTCACCCTTCCTCGCACCGTCATCATTGTCTTGAGATACCTGTTTGCTTTTCTCAATCAGTAAGTGGCCGTTTCGTGTACCATACTTTGAACCAGCGGATCCACAATCACACGCACACATACATTCTCAAAAGCGGGAGGCTAATCTTTAATTTTACCGCACCGTCTTCAAAGCTTCTCTGTATTTACACTGTAAATCTCCTAGTAAATCACCATTAATATGAATAGCAGCAGTCTCAAGCAAAGACATTTATTATATATACAAAGAGCTATTCAACTGCCCCCACTGTTCTTGTCTAATTTATGACCATGTCTGTCAAGGAGTGCTTTAGAGAATATTTACGCTTGGATAAAATCCATCCGTCTGTACTGTACTATACCTGTCCTCTTCTCCTGGCTTTTTATTGATGCTTCCTGTCCTCCCCCTCCCCCAGACCAAACAGAGAATTTGATTTCACATCATGAGTTTTCCTTTTGACTTCATCCCCTTTTTCATTTGCTGTCGGTGCCCGCAGCTCTTGCAGCTGTGAACTTCACTTCTTCTTCAGTCGAGAGATCCAATGAGAGATGAGCTCTCCTCTGTTGAACGATAATGCACTGTACATGAAGATGAATTCTCTGGAATAAAGTTATGAATGAATTTATTGAAATAGACAGCAGGTTTTTTTTTTTTAAGTTACTCCTGCAGTATTACGTCATGTACTAAGGAAACATAAAGCTTTTTCTCTCTCTGTCTGTCTCTTCATCTTTCTAGTCTGTCACAGTACAGTGATGAGAACATGATGGACCCATATAACCTTGCCATCTGCTTTGGACCCACTCTGATGCCCATTCCGGACGGTCAGGACCCTGTGGCCTGCCAGGCTCATGTTAATGAGGTCATTAAAACCATCATCATGCACAATGAGGTCATCTTCCCCAGTCCACGAGAGCTGGACGGCCCTGTCTATGAGAAATGCATGACTGGAGGAGAGGAGTACTGGTGAGCTCGAAGATTTTAGCTGGATTTTGTTGTTACTGAGGAATGTCATAATTTCTCCATTAGATCCAGCTGTGGCTTAACCTGAGCTCTACGCCAAATGAATGGGGAGTTTAGCACTCAGGTCACATGACGATGAATACCTTTGGATGACTTTTGGAACCTATTGCTAAAAGCAATTTTTTACTTATAAAATGTGATTGAACACTTACAAAAATGATTGTAGCATTACAGTGGTAGTAAGTATCATATGGGAATACAATATTGCTAATAGATTAGCAGATTAATATACCATGGCTTTCACTAGATATTCCAGGGTACTTAATGGAAGGGGTTTGCTTTGATTATATCGGATGGAAATATAATATTGCTCTAATAGATTAGCAGATTAATATACCATGGCTTTCACTAGATATTCCAGGGCACTTAATGGAGGTTTGCTTTGATTATATTTAGTAATAAATGCAAATAAAGTGTCGTTCAAAAGATTTGAAAAATCAAAATGTGACTCTTGTGAGTTTTAGTCCTCTATGCTGGTCAAACCAGTCTTTAATATTGATACTAACTAATGGCGTGACATTGCAAAAGTGTAATTGCCATGTTTTTTCCAATGCTGGCATTATGTGCAGCTATTGTGCTTACTGTGTTCTTAAACGTCTCCCTCTCTTTGTGTTTGTATATTCACACAGTGACAGCCCTCATAGTGAACCAGGCACCATTGATGAAGCAGACAACTGCACCGAACCACACACAAGCGATGATGGTACAGGCATTTTTTTTTTCATTCATTGCTTTATACACACTCTTATTATTGTCTCTTATGGAAGGATGTTGTATTCAATTCTATTGCATAAGAGACCACAAATAATCCAAAGCAGAAATCAGCATTTGTGTTTTTTTAGCTTAGTCAATAGAAGAATAGAATTGAATAGAATATATTCTATATATTATATACAGTCCGATTTTTATGCCAGCATTTGGAGTGAATGGAATCAACATTCATCTTGTGTTATTTTGAAGATGATGTTCTGATTAGCATTGCTCTGTTGTGCACTGGCTGACCTTTCTCTCTTTCTGTGTGTGTGTGTGTATGCGCACATGCATGTCAAACACCTAATTGACATCAGATGTCAAAACTGGCATTGAAACATCTGGGCCATATTCAGTTTGATCTAAACAGTTGATATATATATATATATATATATATATTTATACAACCAGAGCCAATATGGGACTTTGACTGCTAATTCTGTATTGGTGTCGTGTTTTCCAGTAATACATCTAACCGTCCTAAAATGAAATGCATTTACTTGAGCAGCAAAAATGTCTCAGATGTTACATGCTTTCAGCAAGTATGTCAAATTAAATAGATTTTTATAACCCCTCTGGTAAATAGTTTGTTCTTATTTTTTGTATTAATAAAACATTTCCATTTGGGGTAAAAAAAAACAACAACAACAAAACAAAACGTAATTTATGATATATTCTCTGAAACCAAGTCATATTGTCATTTTTGTGTGTACATTTTTGCTTTCAAGAAAGTTTATTTTTTTACAGGAAAACTAAAAAAAATACTGATTTAGAAATCCGTCATACACACCAGGCTGTGGTGTTTGGTGAATATCATGATTGACATCCAGCCAATCAGAGTTGTGCCCTTTAAGCAGTGTGCATCCTTATTGGCTGGTGGGCTATGAGGAGATAAGAAAGATGAAAACTGGCAGCACTGATTCATAAAGGGTTATGTGAGATTCCAAGTCTTAAAAAAAAAGCCATTCCCTCTGCTTTTTTTCCTCTCCCCCGCCTCACCCTCTTAATTTCTCACATATAAATGATAACAATGTCTAGCAACGTTTCCGTTGCTATATTAAATGAAGAAGCAGACGGAAATATCTCTTTCGGCCCAGTTTCAGCAATCTTTGCGCTTCATCACTCTCTTTCAGCCCCTGGTTTTCTCTGCTTAATTGCCTCCTCCTTTGGCTTTTATCAGTTTGTTTTCCTTCTCTCCCTCTCTCTTGCACACTCTTTGTTCAGGGTGAGTAAACAGGTCTCACAGGGCTTCCTGCGCCTGCTCCCTTCATTTACTGATTGATGGAGCTGCACTCGCTCGCTAACCCAAAACACCAGCCACATTGCTGATACCATCTCACGCATACAGCATGCTACTCATTAAAGAAATCCTACCAATTTTTTTTTTCATTTTCTCTAAACCAGTTCACCCTTTAACTAATGAATTAAGAATTGGTCTTTTTTTATTACAAAAAAATAGAGCATTGTTTGTTTTTCTATTTAAAGGTGCACTTTCATCCCACTTTAAGGTGCAGTAAGCAATTTCGGAGTAACACTCTTGATAAACACCCTCGCTTCATTGCTCCGCCCCCAAAATTAATGAACACGCAATGCAAGTGTGGACGTCTCTTTATCATAGGTGAAGCCAAGATCAAACGACAAGGAAAGTTTGTTGTTAGTCGCCAGCTACACACCAGCTCAAGACAATGACACTTCAAACTGTCCTGTTACAATAGCTAACATTTAAAACAACAGCATATCCTGGTTCTGGTACTCCTGAATGGAGCAGAAACAACACAACCTTTGCATCTGTTTTCAGGCCCTCCCGCTTAGGTCCCTCTAGTGCTGAAAAAGCTTGTCTAATATTACCACAAGTCCTATAATCCTTCTTTTTCAGTGATATTCCTCTGAGCTTTTTTGTAATGTCTTTCAGCCATCTCTCTTTCTACAGTCTTTCTTCAAATCTCACGCTCGCTTCTCCCTCATCATGAGTGGACACGCCGCCTACTGCTGATTGGCTACAAGTGTGATGTGGTGCTCAGTCCGATCCACTTTCAGCAGTGTGTCTCAGAAATCGCTTACTGCACCTTTAAAGTTTTACACATAAAGAAATTATTTCTACATTTCCTTTCCAAATGTTTAAAGTCGGCATGAAAGGAAAGTTACGAAATATATCGAGTGAAACAACTTTTTGAACAAGAAAAAATGTAGGGCGGGACAGAAAAAGAAATTAGGGGCGAGACTTGATTTTGTCCATCGGGAATTGATTAGATTGTTGTGGTTTGCAATTGCTGTGATCTCAGGTTGTCCTGTTGTCAGGTTTTCCTGTCCTCACACCGAAAAACACATCAACAGAGGCAAGATGTTGTTGACGGGAAACTATTTTGATTAAAGAATACGATGGCACATGAATTAAAAAACTACTGCAATATTCCATAAAAAAGGAAGAAATGTCGATTCTGATTTCATCGTGAATTTAAAATGGAGTACATTTAGATAATGTAAGTGACCTAGCGGGCTATCTATTTTTAGTTAAAATGTGGAAGGCTTCCTTTACAAAAACAGCCTTTTGCTGTTTGCAAACTGTTTTTTGTTATCCTATTATTTTAATTTATCTTCATAATCATAAACCGACTGCTTTGTAGCTCAAATAGTTGCACTGTTTACTTCTTCTCATTCTTCTGGTGATTTGCCTATAGCACCTAATTAATCAGAAATCCTGCACATTCACAGGAAATAGCTTACTTTTGCATTGAAAAATAAGGTGGATTATAAAAGACAAATTGTGATTGAATGACCAGCCATGACTTGCAATTTTGAATTAAACACATACTTCAGGATAAATGAACCTTCCCTTTGGAGCTCATCAGCTAAAGCCCGCCTTATGCGTGACTCAGGACTGTTTGAAGTCACAAGCTTTAGCTCCAAAACATCGTTATCTTAACTTTCCCTGTAACCCTCGACACATGCTGAGAAACCGCAATCAGATTCTGAGCTTTCAATCCAGCCAATCAGGTGCAGTCACAATGGAAACAATCAGACGACATACAGAATAGCAAAGGCTGATTTTTTTTCTCTCTCTCCATTTCCATTCCTCCTCTTTCCTTCCACTTCTGTGCCATGCCTGGATTTAATTTCACCCCTGGGTGGAGACCCTAATGAAACTGATTGTTTTTTTTTTTAGTTGACTTGGAGATTTCTGCCAAGCGCTGATTTGCTCTGTATATCTCCTTAACCCTGAATGACCCCACTGTCTGTTTGCCCCTGGCAGTGTCTGGGGTGTTGGGACGGGGGGTGAAGCGTGAACTGGTCTGTGGTCATATGATGGCAGTGGTCACATTAAATGGAAGCTGGGTGCAGATTTAATAGGATTTAGATAAAGTCCACTTTGCATTTTAGTAGCCTGTATTAGAACTGCGCCTGTTGTGGTCCTGATGAGATCATATCCTCTGATTTGTAAGACCATAATGTGATGAAGGTGAATATTTATGATATGGAATATGGGGTCTATTTGAGAAATAAACTAACATACAATCTTTTGCTGTGCATGAGCCTGTTAATATTGAACTGTATTTTTGTCTTAGCAATATTGCATTGTTCAAAAGTTAGTGTTGTTCTTGCGTTGAAGGGACATTTTGCATTGCAGTGTTTCATGTTTTTTTTTTTTTTTGCTTTGATTTGCCTTGTTTTGTTGTTTCCAGAGATTTACAGCAATAATTCTATGGATTTTGCAGTTTTTATGTTGAAAAGTGACATTTTGTCAATCGATGCTCAGTAGCCCCCCTCCCACCATGTCAAAAGGCATTGATCTATCTATCTATCTATCTATCTATCTATCTATCTATCTATCTATCTATCTATCTATCTATCTATCTATCTATCTATCTATCTATCTATCTATCTATCTATCTATCTATCTATCTATCTATCTATCTATCTATATATATATATATATATATATTTATAATGTATTATATATCATAAAGTGTGTGTGTGTGTGTATATATATATATATATATATATATATATATCCAATATTTTGGTCATTCCAAATAAAATAATAATATATATGTAGTATGTGTGTGTGTGTTCAGTGTTGTGCAGTAGTTTTGCATTAGGTCTGGATAGTCAAATTGGAAACATGTTTGGACATGGTGTTTGTGTGTGTGTGTGTGTGTTTTGGAGAATGACAGATTTGAGTCTGTTGCAGTGCTTTGAAGCTCTTTGAAAATTTGTTGACATAATTCTCTGTGCAAACATGCTAATGAGCCCTAGTTGCACTGTTCCTCTCTCTCTCATACACTTACAGAGTTGGAGCAGATTGAAGCCATTGCAAAGTTTGACTACATGGGTCGGACTCCTCGAGAGTTGTCCTTCAAAAAAGGTGCATCCCTTTTGCTGTATCATCGTGCATCTGAAGACTGGTGGGAGGGCAGACACAACGGGGTTGACGGCCTCATACCCCACCAGTATATAGTAGTACAAGACCTGTAAGTAAATAATTACTTTTTTAATACAATTCATTTTAGTTATTTTATTATTTGGAACGTAACACAAATGTTTTTTTTTACTATGGACATGAGTGGTACCTCATTGCAACTTGTTAAAGAAAGTTCCTATTATTTATTTTTTTGAGTAAGACTTTGATGTTTGCATCAAGAGTGATCAAATTGGTTTATTTGACCTGGATTATTTATGGTCCAGGGGGTCTATTACAGAAACTAGCGTAGACTTTTGACAATCATTGTTAACTTATCCAGACAGCAAATCAGTCATGTAGTGTACAGTATTCCAGCCTTAAGTAACCACATAGCAACATGCTAAAACTAATCAGAACATCTTAGCAACTTAGCAGTTGCACAAACCACATTTTTGTCATAAAAATGTAGTTCCTACTATATGCAAGGGAGTCTTGGCACTAGTTACAGGACATTCCAATGCATGTTGCCTTGTGAACGTTTTGCCCTCTGGGTAATATATGACTAATCAGACAGCGAGGCCATCTGGCCTGAGTTCATACCTTAATAGCTTAAGTGAGAATCAAATAGTTCTCGCCATTAACACTTTCCACTTTAATTAAACTTTAACAGCACTGAGTGGCAGTTGAAGAATGCTCTGAAGTCTTTGGCAAGGGCCTTTGCACTGTATAAGCTTAATTGTGTTTCTGAAGTAGCAAGCATTAGCGGCATTCTAATGTGCTAGGCATGCATTTATGTCAAAGCCTGTTGTGTGCAGTGGGACATGACATTTTTCAAAATGAAAGTGAGCTGAAAGAAAGACAATCTTCTCTCTTACTTTTTATAAGGTCTTGAGATGACATGAAATTGCAGTGTCCTTGAGTTGGTCATATTTATATCAACGGCTGATATTAACTGTCCTACCGCTGTTTCAGTAATTACTAAAATGATGACATGCTCATTATCTCTTTGTATGGTTTAACTGATGTCAGTTTGATGAATGAGTTTATTAAAAAGGGTCAATCCATGCCCCATTCCTAATATTGTAAGATATGACAGCAGCAAATAAGGAAAATGGAGGTTGCTAAAATGAAAAGAGGATGGAGACAACCAGCTGACAGTTACACTACAGTGAAGGTGGGAGGAATAACCAAAATCTTTAACACAATAGTTATTTTTGCTGTAAATTCAACCCCAAAGTGCTTTAAACACAACATAGCCATATGATGTTTATTTTCATTAGTGACTTAAAGGGATAGTTCACCCAAAAAATGGAAATGATCCCATAATTTACTCCCCCTCAATCCATCCTAGGTGTTTGTCTTTCTTCCTTCCACCAAATACAATCAGAGTTATATTTAAAAAATCCTGGCTCTACCAAGCGTTATAGTGGAATTGATAGTAAACTGGGATTTTGAAGCCCCAAAAAGTGCATCCATCCATCATAAAAGTCATTCATACAATTCTGAAGCGAAACGATGCTGGTTTGTAAATATAAAATATATGCAATGGAAAAATATCCATATTTACTTTATAACTTTATAAACTGTAATCACTGGCTTCCGGTAACAGCCGTACGTGAGTCTAGGTCCGGGGGCCTAAACTATCCCTTTAAATGCTTAAAAAAATGAAAGATACACAAAGTCTGCGATTAAATATTTTGCAAACTGCGTCAAACATTTAGTGAAAAGCCATACCAGGGGAATGAACAATGTTTGAGAGGATCAGCTTCTTGTTAATGGCAATGGTTTTGAAATTAAGTGTTCAACAAGCATGTACTTCAGTGCCAAAAGGCAGTCAGTAAACAGGACTGCTGAAAGATTGCATAATGAAACACTTGGGCTGTTGACTTTTTCTGAGACTTTTTTTTTTCCATGAATGTGACGTTCAACAGCTTCAGATTACCAAACACCTTCTGCTGTCGTCTCCCAAGAGAACTGTAAAAGCAGGCCGAGAACATGCTGTGAAACTGTGATCAGTGGATGTTTGCTTGCTGTGGGCTGAATGAGACATGAAGTGAGAGGGATGTCGAGGCTGCTGGGACTGAAAAATAAGAAACCAGAGGCTTGTTTCATTGCCAGCTTTATGTACATTTTTTGTGTGTGTGTGTGTGTGACAGTTTAGCCGGTGAGCATTATGATGTACTCTAAAAGTTGACTGTCTTCATGATGTCTTCATGAAAATTCAGCTATGCCATCACAGGAATACAATTACAGTATTTTTAAAATATATTCAAATAGAAAACTGTTTTTTTTTTTTAAATATATTTCACAATATTACTGTTTTTACTGGGAGACGAACTAGCATGTTTTAATTTAAGTAACAGCACAAAACAATTACAATTTTAAGTGTACTTAGTTTATATATCCTACATTTTAAAATGACTTCACTTATATAATCCATAAATTTGCCTGTGGTTTTGTTTTCAAATTATTGATAAATAAGTCTTTTATTTTTTTTTATTTTAATTATTTAGGTCTATTTGTTCCCTCATAAGCCATCAGTGGTCTGAAGAGAAACAAAAAAGTTTTTTGTCTCTTTTTATTCAGGGATGATGCGTTCTCTGATAGTCTGAGTCAGAAGGCTGACAGCGAGGCCAGCAGTGGACCTTTACTGGACGATAAAGCCTCATCCAAAAACGATCTGCAGTCCCCGTGTGAACCTTCGCATGATTACAACTTTGGCGGGGTCATGGGCCGGTCAGTGGCTGATTACACAGAATTCGCTTGTATTTATTTCACAAATTTTCAGTCTCAGAAAAAAAAAAAATGATGATCTGAATTATCATGTTTCTCCTCACAGCTTATTTACTCATCTTTTAAGGCTTGTTTGTCACATGAATATTTAACAAAAATCATTAGACTGTACTGTATTTGCAGTTAGCTTTGAGTGTGACTGTCGTTATTTAAGCTTGTTACAATCTCATTGTGTATTTCTGCAGGGTTAGGTTGCGTTCGGATGGGTCTGCCGTTCCTCGACGCCGCACTGGCACTGACTCTCACAGTCCTCCACGAGACACACCGCCACGGGCCGCAGCCTGCCCCAGCAGCCCACACAAAGTGGCGGTCACTAGGGGCCACATAGAGAGTCCTGAGAAGAGACGTTTGGGAACCTTTGGCAGTGCAGGAAGCATTAACTACCCTGAGAGGAAGGTCTATCCTGAAGGTCACCCGCTCAGGCCTGTTCCTGGAGCAACGAGACACAGCAGCCTTGGGGACCACAAGTCCTTGGAGGCTGAGGCTTTAGCAGAGGTGAGTGAGAGCACACTTTTTAGATTCTCATTCAAATTTATTAATGCGTTATTTTAGAAGTTTGATTTTAGAATCACTGAGAGACTATTATTGTTCTTATTAATATTTTGAATTAGATTTTATCTTTATACTTTCCATTTTTATTGTCTATATGTATGTATGTCTACATCGTTTTTATTAATTATTTCAGTTTTAGTTTAAGTTTTTAAGGTAATAAAGTTACACTAAATGAAAATGAGTGATATAGTAAATCTAGATGAAATAAAAAAAGTTTAAATTGTTGCATATATTATTTCAGTTATATGTTATTTCAAGTAATGAAAATGGGTAACGCCTTATTTTATGGTCCTTTTTACACGCTAAATGCAGTTACTGTCATCATAAGTGTATGTGTATATATATATATATATATATATATATATAGTGTATGTATATATATAGTGTATGTATGTATGTATGTATGTATATGTGTGTCTGTGTGGGTTTGTGAGAAATAAAATCACTATTTTAGGTATCATTCAAGTCAAGGCAAAGTTTTGTACAGAAAAATAATAAATAAGCACCATTAGTTATTCACAGAAGTTATTTTTGAATTAATTTGAATTAAGATTTTCTAAAATTCACTAATTTTCTATTAGTGCTGTCAAATCGATTAATCGCATCTAAGATAAATGTTTGTGTTTATATAATATATGTGTATTGTTTAAATATATATATACACACACACACACACACACACACACACACACACTTAAAACAGATTGTTTTTGGATGAGGCTTGAACTGTATACACATTTATTATATAAACACAAACATTTATGTTAGATGTGATTAATCACGATTAATTGATTTGACAGCACTATTATATAGTGCTATATAGACATATAGCTCACAGCTCAAAGCTCTGATTTAGACAGCTCTATACAATCTTATTTAAATTACCCTGATTTAAATACATGATTTTTAAACATTAATGTCTATTGCTATAAGATCAAACATTCAAATATTTTCACTAAGTGTGCCATAAATCCTCTTTTATTTTGTACCCTTATAAATCAAAGCTCAAAAGGATTCAGAAATACTTTTAAGTTGTAGTCATGAAAGCTTTTTGGTCTTTCTCTTTGAGCCTTGCAATTAGCCTATAATTCTGTGCCTGACGAAGCTGGCAAGATTGAGTCCAGCAGAAACAAAGAGCTGGCACTAAAAACAGAGATCAGCATGAACGGGATAGGCTGGCACTGATCCATCTTTTTCATTTGCACACGATTAAATAAAGAAGTCTGTGGCACATGGAACAGTTAATGATCTTTTGTAATGGCCCCTTTGTGTCTACACTCACCTAATGAAAAGAAAACTGCTTATAGACATCTGAATACAGACATCAAAATGAAGGCATGATGGATATTGTTGGAGAGAAATGTGTTGTCTTGTGAATTGATAATGAATTATAATCCCAGACTACTGTACATGATCTAAATAACATTACTGCTTGATGTGTTTAGTTTGAGGGTGTGTGTGTGTGGTTATTGATGACGTCTGCTCAGTAATAAGACCTTGCAAGGTACTTGTTTTTGTGTGTGTGAGCATGTGTCTTCATGAGCCTTTTATCTCCCGAGCATTAAACTTTTATGGCATGCTCAGCTGCAAGACAGAACGGAGATGGTCGGTCTTGAAAGAGGAATGGAAAGCAGTGAGTTTATAGTCTATCAGGACGGCAGCGACGCTGTGTGTATATCAAACATAATCTGCCTCCGTGATATACTAGGCCGCTCCCGAAGAAAGTAAGATGAATCCCCAGGAAAGATGAGCGATTTCTAAGGCCATAGAGCACCATAAATACTTTCTGTGCAGAAAAACAACAAATTGAAGTTATCGATCATTTTCTTACAGCATGGTTCTTATTAGTGGTGCTAGAGGATTTAAACAAGTCCCTAATGCTTGACTTTGCTATATATTTTTGTATATATTAGAGCTTTCAAACGATTAATCGTGATTAATCGCATCCAAAGTAAAAGTTTGTGTTTACATAATATATTTGGGTGCACTGTGTATAATTATTTTATACACATAAATACACACACATGCTTGTATGTATTTAAGAAATATTTTCATGTATAGATTTATAAATAATTTATATTATATATAAATATAAATATTTTATATATTAAATAATACTAATAATTAATAGTAATAATAATAATTATATAATAATTAAATAATATTTTTTTCTTAAATATGTATGCATGTGTGTATATATATGAAGAGTTCAGATGCAAAAGCCTCTAAATGCCATTTGAAATTTTCTTCTAAAATGACCATTTTTATCAAGCTTGTATATTTAAGTTCAGTAATTTCACTTAAATGGCAATGAAGATTACCTATTAATTGTCATTTAAGTGAAATTACTGAACTTAAATATACAAGCTTGATAAAAATGATCATTTTAGAAGAAAATTTCAAATGGCACTTAGAGGCTTTTGCATCTGAACTCTTTATATATATATATATATATATATATGTACGAAATAATTATACACAGTGCACCCACATATATTATGTAAACACAAACTTTTATTTTGCATGCGATTAATCGCGATTAATCGTTTGACAGCACTATCATTATGTTAAAAATAGCTTTCATAGTGGTACTTCATTAGCTGGATTACATTCTATTACCTGAATATTTTTGTTACAGGACATTGAGAAAACGATGAACACTGCACTTCATGAGCTCCGCGAATTGGAGCGGCAGAACACAGCCAAACAAGCTCCCGACGTAGTTCTGGATACGTTAGAACCGCTCAAGAACCCAGTGAGCTCAGAGCCAGCGAGCCCCTTACACACCATCATGATCCGGGACCCGGACGCGGCCCTCAGGCGCAGCAGCAGCTCCACCTCCGAGATGATGACCACCTTTAAACCGGCGCTGTCCGCCAGATTGGCCGGAGCCCAGCTCAGACCTCCACCTATGAGACCCATGCGCCCACCTCCCACGCAGCACCGCTCCAGCAGCTCCAGCTCCTCTGGGGTGGGAAGCCCTGCCGTAACCCCCACAGAGAAGATCTTTCCAAACAACGCAAGCAGTGCTGCAGCTTCTTCCGCCAACTCGGGAGAGAAACCTGGAACCATGTAGTCCGCGGTGTGATGCTGCTACATGTGCTGGTGAGGGCGATGCGGGGCACGATGCTCCAAGTTCAGGAGTGCTTTTCTTTTCATTTTCATTTTTAATGTATTTTTTGAGCCTAGAAGATTTCGCAACTGAAGCCTAGTGGTCTGACGCGTTGAGCCTGGTTGTGGATGATGAGAGTTGAGTCTGGCTCAGGTGATCTCCTACATTCCATTCTGTTCTTCCCATAATTTCCTGTCTTCTCTGCGAAAGAAACAAAAAAAAAATATAAGAGTAAAATACGAGGAGAAAAAATTACTTTTATAGGGTAAATTTCATGCAACTGAACTGCATTATATAAAGTATGATTAAAAAAAATCCTTTTGTTTTTATATTATTATTAATTTTACCTCAGAATTAATATTAAGTTGTCCTTTTTGGCCTTCTGATTTTTATGTGAACTTTATTTAGAGCAAGATTCTCTGCACTGGTTGGCCAGAAGAGTTCTGTAATTCATTGGAGGACTGTTCTAAGATAAGCGATAAGTCCCTCCTTCAAGAACTGGACTGTACATATAATAGAACCAAACGGTCACTCAAAGACTGTCTAACATGGCCACCTTTGAGCTGTTGTAAATAGAAATATACTGTACTTGAACTTGTAATGCCTTTCGTTTGTAGAATAAGCGATATACATATAAGTAACAACATAGCCAAGCTGTAAACATATATGAGATGCAGAAAACCAATATACCAACTAATTTTAAGAAACCTGTGGTAAAAAATGTAGTTTTACTTGTATATAAAGTTCGGGTAGATTCTTTTTTTTTTTGTACAGCCGAGGACATGACCAGGCAGGGAGACTAGAATGGCAAACGCTTTTACAACAAATGAGCAAATAAATAATGAATCAATAGTCAGTCTGAGCCATTAATATTATTATTAGTTTGAGGAGTTCTACCTTTTTCCCAATTTTTGGATCACATCAGTTTCCTAATACAAAAAGCAGTTCTTCATGCTGAATTTATGCATTCTCTAAAGTTGGTTTTAGGGTATTCCTGTGAGCTCCCTCCATATTACTGCAAGCATCCATCAGTTACATTTGAATCCCAAAATATATACTCTGTCAACTGATTTTATGAATTATATGAATATGATATTAATTCTTACTAAGTGGCCAGTGTTTTTGTGACCTCAAAAGGGTGAATCAAACAATGTGTCAATGCCATAGTGATATACAGTAAATCTAGGGATGCACCGATATGAAAATGTTGGCCGATATAGATAACCAATAATTCTTTATATTTGGAAGCTGATAAATCCAATTTCAAAATTAAGCACACAATTATAATGTTCATGTAGCTTATATGACAGACTTCTGTTGCACAGGTTCATTTAACTGTTATTTTCCTTTATTGAAGTGATTCCAATAATATTTCAAGCAATTCAAAACGGTGACAGCGAACAGTGCGCACCTGAAGTGTCTCATCTGAAGGAAAGAATCCATTATTTATCGGCTTTAATATATCAGCCAAATTTTAACAAATTTTAATTTTTTAACAAAAAATGAACATATATCGACCGATACCGATATGTTGACCGATATATTCGGCATCCCTATATAAATCCTCAAAATAGGTCTCATTTTTTTATGTTCCCCCAAAAGGTGTTTTTTTTTTGTATATCAAATACAAAGTAAAGCATATTCCAAGTGTATCTAATACCACATTTATAAATCCATACCACTCTCCACACGATTTAAAATATTCTATAACCCACACAAAAATGTCATAATACAAATATCACCTAAAAATAGGCCTCATTTTCTTATACAAAATATATTTTTATAATTTTTTTGTCTTGGCTTTGGGATAAACCAGACATCATGTTGTGAGATTCACCCAAAACAGTCTTGTTTATGTCAGATATATGGTGCAAAGCACTGCACATTCTCAGTGAAATGAATGATACATTTGTAAATACAAACCGCTCTCTCTCTCTGGTGAGAAACACAACCCTCCTCCCAATATAAATTTTCAATAGCCTAGAGAAACCAGCTCCAACAAGAGAAGCTTCACTGCCCCCAATCTGTCATATCATCTCTGGTTCATCCTCAGCGTTACCCCTCCTCCCTGAGCTGTGCTTGAAGAGGGAATACCCAGTCGTGAACAAAATTTGCCCGACTGACCTAGATATCCACTTAAATGCACTGAACCCAAAGCTTTAATCTCATCTTCACCGATTTTACTTTTACAGTTTGCCTTAGGATTTGCCACTTCACGCAGTCCAACCAGAGTGACCGTATGCGAAAACTTGTGTAGCTTTGAAAAAATAGATTTAAAGCCAGGCTTGATTTGTTACATCACGTGTCTGAGTAGTCTAACATTTCTCGTTGTTGCCATGCTGATTTGCTCTTGCGTTAGGAGCATAAAAAAAAATTGTAAATCAAGACTCCATGACTTGTTGCTGCCATCTTGAATTTCCTTTAACAAATGATTTGGCAAACACTGGTAATTAGCTTCTGTCTGAATTCCTCAGCATGAGCCTGTTGTCCGCATGTGAGGGAGATAGACAAGCACGTGCTTCTCTTTACCAATAAGCAACACTGTTCAAAGAATAATAGTGCTGCCTTTTCCTAGATACAATGCACTATATTCCCGAAACACGTTCACTTTCAGACTGGAACTGGGTCTGTAAAGGCTGCCTGCAAGGATTAGGCTCATCTCAGGAAGGGACTCTAATTTTGTCTATCTACTATCTTACCATATCACCTCCCAGTAGGCTCCATTTAAACATTTAAACCACATGCATAAGGACTATTGTTCACGATTACTATAGGACACACATCTATATCACTTCGGCATAATTACGTCTGGATGGATGAGGGCTTAATTCAATTTACAGTAAGAAAACATGCAGAATATTACAATGCATTTAATAATCATCGTAGTCATCCTTCTGTGATTTGAAGTACAGGGTTTCACAGGTTGAAAACCTGGGATTCTTAAATTCCAGACCTTCGAAAGTCATTTACATGAAAGTCGGTAAAAATTTCTAAAGTGAACATGGGTGTTACTGTTCTTCTCAGACCAATAATAATAAACTGGCTAGAAATAAAATGTTATTTTAAAAAAAATGGCTTGATTATATTTACAGTAATGAAGTAATGCAGAATTAATCATTCAATGTATTAAAGAGACTTAAAGGGCCATTCTTTTGTAATTTGCAGTATATGGTTTCCATTGCCATAGATAACCGGGAAATATCAGGGAATTAAATGATTTTCAGTCCTCGTAATTACAGGTATGCAATAGTTCATACAGGTATGCATTTTTTCTTGTTCTCAGCTGGAACATAAATTGATTGGCTTAAAATAAAATTCTGTGGAAATGTATGAATAATAATATACATATATTTTTAATATTGCTATTTACTACTAATATAACCTCATCATCATTTAAAAGAATAAAAATAAATGTGTGAGAACCCTTGCCCCTGGTTTTACAGACAAGTCTTAAGCCTAGTCTAGACTAAAACGCATGTTTTAACTGAAAGCAATTTGCTCTGATAAATCTTAAAATATGTCGGTGCCATTGTTTTGTCTCAAGATGCACATCAGGAATGATTTTTTCGAAGGCACGCTGGCCAAATCCTGGCTAAATCTAAGCCCTGTTTGTGAAACCAGACCCTACAATACCATCTTAGTCTTGTTTAGTGTGGATTTACCAGATAAACCTTTCTTTACATATAAGGGCTAAGACAGATACTGCCCTCTGGTGGCCTTATTTGGCCTGTCCCTTCTCATAGTCTCCCTCTGGTGGTCATTGCTGGTATCGCTCATTTATTGACAATGCGCAGGAAAAATCTAAATTGTTGGCAGAACTTGAAGCTCTTTGGTACAAATGTGAAATTGCTACCACATTTCTGAAAGTTTTACAGCATATCTAGTCTTACTGTCATTCTAGGCATTCCGAACTCTAGCTTGCACTAGCAGCCATGCACCAAAGGTTCACATAGATCAGTGTGTGTTGAGAAATTCGCACCCTTGGATTTTCATACAATGTCGTTACTCGTGCTGTAATCATGCCTTTGAGTGTTATGAATTTAAATACTTGAGTATCAGACTTCTTCTCGTTCTTCTGGGAAGAACAGTGCATTACGTTCTCACATCTTTGTTGTACAGCTCATCTATATACTGTATAGCGCTTATGTAACAAGCCGATGTTTGATAATAAATGATATCGAGTTTACAGAATCTGCCATCCATAACATACTTAAATAGTCATGGCCTTTCAATCCATGTTGCGTCATTCATCTCTGTTTATCTCTTCTCTGCAAGTGAACGCAAGGCTGTGCTGTGAAAAGCGTATACTTTTGCTGTTAAGTTAAATCTTCTAATGCATTGCAGTATTTAAGACCGTGTTGGTCTGATAATAGGATGTTGTATGGTACTTGCACGATTTCTAAGGCACTTGGTGCATCCCTGTACTTAATAGACTGTGTGTGATGTTACAGGAAGTATGTTTTGGGAATGTATGCAACATTGGGAGTGTATTGTACGTATGCCACAGTGGGTCTATATTGTATGTACGCTAAGATAACAGGGAAAAAAAATAGGCTTTATCCTTCTCTGGACACAATGTTCAACAGGACAAAAGTGCCGTCTGTCTATAGTAGTTGGTTGTGAAAACATTTGTCGTTTTTTTTCCCGTTTTTTTTCTCTAAACACATTTTGTCTAGTGATGCTGTTCTTAAATGAGTGTTTGAATGGTTGGATTACCCCTCTGTGATGTTATCCTACACCATCCCACTGTTCGGATGTGAACCATTCTTAAGTCCAAATAAATACTTTTTTTTTTTAACCTTAGATTTAATTGTTGTCTCTTTTTTTCATTTTAGTTGAAATTGATTGATTATATGTCATATAATGCTTTTATTCATAATGCAATAATGCAACACAGATGAATCACAATTGCTTATCTGTTTGAAAACTTACAATATCCTGATTTTTCAGCCCAAAGAACAACAATTTTAATATTTTATAAACACATTCTTATTACTATACTCGTATTACTATAATATATTTTTAACATTTTAGAATATATATGTGTGTGTGTGTGTGTGTGTGTGTGTGTGTGTGTGTGTGTGTGTATACACTGTAAAAAATATTGTTGGTTTTAAATAAGTAACCTGGTTGCCTTAATTTTAAGTTCATTGAAAGGGAAAAAATTAGTTAATAAAATGAAGGAGATTAATTTAATCACCAGAAATTCAAAATATTAGGTGATCTGAACTACATAAATTATCTAAGTTGATTTGGCAAAAGAAAAAAATGTTGTGATTACAAATCATGCAAATATTTTTTACGGTGTATATATATATATATATATATATATATATATATATATATACATACACTGTAAAAAATATATTATTTATATATTAAATATATATATATATATTTTACTGTGTATGTATATATACACTGTAAATATATATATATATATATGTGTATATATATATATAAATTATCAGTGTTTGTTACATTTTATATTTTTTTATACAAGTTTTATACTTAATTATGTGTGCTTAATTGATAAGTACCTGTGTCATATCACAAAATTCAAGAAATTAACAACATAATTTTCTTTGTGCAAATTAGAATGCAAATTTTTTTGTTCTAAATGGTTTTTGTTTTGTAACTTTACTATATGGTTCCATTTGCTTACAATAGTAAACTAAATGAGTTAACAAACTAACAACGAAAAATACTTTTAAAGCATTTATTACTTTTAATTAATGTTAATTTCAAAATGTACCAATACATTATTGGTACCAAAAGCTGCATCTGTTAGGCCTATTATTTAATCGGCCTGAGCTGACTTGACCTAACAATAAACAGTTTTACTAACTAATGTTAACAAAGATCAATAAATAATGTAACAAATATAATGCTCAATGTTAGGTAATGGAAGTTAATGAATTAGCCAAGTTCATCTAACGGGACATTATTGTGAAGTGCCACCATTTTTTTTTAAACTGTAACCAGCACATGTTTGCGTGAGATTTCTCAATGTATTTACTGGAATGTAGTGCTGCACCTTTTTGCAGTATTGAGTCCGGCCACTAGATGGCAAGAGAACTATGGACTCTAGATGGCAGTCGAACGAATGAAGGCTTTGAAATATAGAACATTTTTGTATGGGTTATTATTTGTGACACCAAATGTGGTTAAAATTGTGACAATAAATGGAAACCATTAAGCCCGCAGTAAGTCTGGTGTCTTTCAAAGTGCATTTTAATTTTCTCTGAGTGCAAAAGCGAGATAGGCTACATGGCCAATCAATTATTAATTTTTGTCATAATGCTATATAGGCAGCCAATCAGGCATGAAGTGCAGATAAACAAAATCCCATATGTTACACCTAAGGGACTCTTAGTAAACAAGACGTAAACATGAACAATATAACTCTCATGTCCTTTCAGTCACTTTATTAGGCCTATATCCCAACATGCTTCTTTTAACGTCACACTTTTGTATTGCTTGCTGTTAAAAACGTATTGGTGTAGGCTATTTTACACTGTTAAATATGAACTTAAATTGTCACAAAGAATATTAAAGGTATTAGACAATTATAACATGCTCATTGAATAATAGTATAGTAACTATTTATTACATAACACTGTCAAAGAGCATAGCCTAATGCTTGCCTTCATAATGTTTTTGTAGCCTAGATAATAGCATCGTGAAAAATACAACAATTATGGGCTGTTCCTCTGATGTTAATGAATAGGTAACACACATTTATCTTATGATTTAGGGTTTCCTCATATTGGCTGCCTTGCACTCGATCCTTTTATAAAAAAAATAAAAATAAAAGCGTTTCCTCTCTGTTGTTGTGATTGTGAAGTATGAAGTGTTATGACAGCAGGGCTTGGTAGGGTGGATAAATGTTCCGACAGAGCAAGAACCCTTCAAAACAATGTGAAACTGACATTCAAGATCAACACACAACACCAGGAAAGAATAGTAGACCTAGGCTACAACCTTATATGCCTTATTTATAATGCATTCCAGCCTACTGAAAAGGCAACAGCTCTAATTTCAGAATGATCAAAACAACTCCAAATTAGATAGCTTTTTACGAAGCAAGGAATGAAAATAACCAATTGCATTTTAATGGGATGAGTATGGCTGCAAAAAGGTTCAAATTCTTTCTTTGTGTTTGAATTCTTTCAAATTTTGAATTCTGTTCGAATTCTTTCTTTGAATTGGCTTAATTTTCCTCTGCGTTCATAATGCCGTAGGGCGTGGCTATAGACGTAGCCCCGCCCCTTTTCAGCTCTGCGCTCGTTGTCTTTTGACTTCCTGTCTGTATTTTCGCCGCGATCTTGCTTAGGTATGAATGAACTGCTCGTACATTTTTTTTACAAAGTTTTACAATGCTTATGATGATAAAGATTACAATGCTCATGATAACTTTTATTAACTCTACAATAAGTAAACCCACTTCGCCAGCTAATTACTCATGGACAGGGATAAGGTTATAATTAGGTTAAAGGTAAGGGTTTGGGTTAGGCAGTTAGTTGTGATGGATAGGGTTAGGGTAAGGAGCTAGAGATTGCTTTTATTGTTTCAATGAATGTCCTCAAAAAGAGGAGCAAGAATGCAGAGGTGGAGTACTGTACTTTTTGAGTAGGCCCTATCTGTAGGCCTACTTTACTTGAGTATTATTTTTTTCTTGAAACTTTTTACTTTAACTTCCACTACATTTATGTCAATGTCCTTGAGTAGAAATTATTAAGGTCAGTCATCAGTCAGGGGATGATTTTGGTTGCAGGGGTTGCCTTGGTTGGAAATGAAAGTCGGGTTGACGTCAGAACCTGACTGATGTTGGATTCTGACATTAACCTGATTTTCATTTTCAACGTTGGATTTGGTCTTTTAAATGCGAATTTTGTCATTGTTTTGGCGCACACTAGCTTATAACAGTAAGGCTAACATATTCTAAAAGCCACAAAACCTTTCATAGACACTATTTGAGGGAACAGCCATTTGGGTGTACGGAACCATTGTGGACGAATTGTAAACCATTGTGAGCCATTGGTATTGAGTGCACTTATTCAATCTCAAATTCAATCGCTCTAGAAATAAATTTGATATTGATATGACTATGAGTGTAGAAAGCAGATTCAGAGGCATAAGGTACTGTAAGTATTACATACAACAATGCAACAATAATAAAACAATGCATTGACATTTACTTTTGATACTTTTTATACTTAAGTACTTTTAAAAACTAAGTAAAAATTGGCCTTTACAACTTTTACTTGTAAAGTAGTAGCCTAATATTTGACTATCTGTTCTCTCACTCAAATATGGAAGTTGTGTTTTGTCCACCTCTGCGTGTGTTCAGTAAACCATTTAAACTAGTGTGTGTGTGTGTGTGTGTTCAGCCCTTATAGGGGTGCTAAAATAATGGCTTCCTCTTATGAAACAACTCGACATTCTGGGCAGCTTTCTGTAAACATTTTGACTAGATCCGTGCTCTGTAAAATAAACCAGCATTTAAATTGCGGAGCATCATGCCAGGGCCAGTGAACAGAGCCAATTTTTTATTATTTGAATGAAACAAGTAAAGCCAATGTTTGTTTATTATGTTTATGCTCTTATTGTGAGGCAGATGATGCAGTTATCTTGGCTTAATTAAATGTCTCATTCTACTGAGCTTTAACTGGACAATCAATGTGAGTTTTCTGAATCAATGTGTACATCCTTTTCCAGGGTTGTGGTGTCTGCTTGTAGAGGCGAGCCTATAGCTTTTCTATAGTAAACTCTGTCTACCAAGTGGTTTTACTGATTACATAGAGCAGTAGCAAGCTGAGGTCATGGAAACCAGATGAATCGCACATAAATTACTTGTGCTACATCTATGTTTGCAGGGCTAGCAATAAACATGTTCGACGTATATATATATCTATGGACTCGGTGCAGTAATATCATCACTCCGGAGAGAGAGAGGATTTTTCACAAGTGATGATATTACTGCGCCGATTCGAAGTGCTCCCAAGCACTTGCTGTGGTATTTCGCCATAGTTATTTACTTTACATGCAAAAGCGCAACGTTTTATTTTGTGTCACCATTCTTGGTCGAGTTACACTACACTATTTAAATAGGGAAAAGATGGAGGTGTTTGTTCGCTTCTCTGCTTGGATCCTAATGAATGAACTGGGCTAGCTAAGTGGTATCCAAGTGTCTTGTGCGCCAGAGCGATTGAGTGAACGCACTGAGACAAGAGTGTCACAGTTCTGACACAAGTATTCTGGTTATTCTTGGTTTAGTGACAGAGCCTCCTTATGTATGATCTTGTTTACTGTGAGCGCATGGCTGTTATGGATTCTCTGTGTGCCATGTGCTCTTGTAGATATTCTAGCCCCTCCCTCCTTGTTACCTTGTTATTGGGTTATATGTTCCACCTGGTTTTCCCTTGTTACCCACTTTGTTTGCCTTCATATTTAGTCTCCCTGTGTTAGCTGTCCTGTGCTCGTTCATTGTTAATGTTATGGGTGTTGAGTCGTGTGTAGTTCTGTTCCTGCCATATCATGTTCTTGGATTTAATTAGCTCATGATACCTGGACTTCCTTCCTTCCTTCCTTCCTTCCTTCCTTCCTTCCTTCCTTCCTTCCTTCCTTCCTTCCTCCCTTCCTTCCTCCCTCCCTCCCTCCCTCCCTCCTTCCGTCCTTCCTTCCTTCCTTCCTTCCTCTCCTTCCTTCCTTCCTTCCTTCCTTCCTTCCTTCCTTCCTTCCTTCCTTCCTTCCTTCCTTCCTTCCTTCCTTCCTCCCTTCCTTCCTTCCTCCCTCCCTCC